ACCACGCCAGCCGTGATTATATAGATGAGGAGTGAGCGCACACAAATGCTTCCAACACGAAGCGTTCGCTAACGAGCCAAGTCGCATCCACCATAATACTCACATAGTTGTAGATAGCACAGCAGGTTGCACTAATCCGCTGTGCAAACGCCCGTGATAATTATTACAATTATGTTTTGATGGTGTAACAACGTGGGCAGGAAATGCGCTCGAGTTTTAACAGTTGGCGATGATGAAGATGGCACCAGCAGCCATTTTGTTGTTGTTTAAGCTGGAAAAACATAAAAATACAGTTTTTACCATTAAATTGCTATGATTTTCAACCTAAATGCAACGAAAACTCGTGGATTATCTTTAAAACACTGTTGTCAATCAAAATAATTGCACACTCAAGACGATGTTCTTTCGATTATGCTCTTGACATGCCACTTGAGGCACGACCGACCGACGACACTCGGCGCAAATTAGAAAAGTTCCACGACGACCTGCCCTCCGCCGAATTAGTGCAATTACAATTACGGCAGGCCGCGCACGGGCACTACAAACACGTCCATCAAACGACATCTCGAGAAAAATCACTGTGCGCCATCAGTTAATTGCTCCAGCTATATATATATATACCTATAAACTAAATTAAAATCACATTTCCAACACTAACTCATGCCTATGCCTGCAATTTGCAAATTAAATCCGAAGCGCACAATAAGACTGTGGAGTGTTTCGGCTTCTGCATGCGTCTGTGCAAGCCGCACAGCTACTGTTTTTTTTTGTTGTTATTGTCAGCGCGAAGAATATCTGAATAATAATGAACTGTAAACGCGGTGCTAGGTTGTAGGTAGGTACGAGAGGAAACAATGCACAAAGAACTTGGTACTCTCGCAAATTAGAAACGGGGGCGAAACAAGGAACTACATTCGCGCATCGCTTGCACGGGGCGATGACGCAATCTCTCAAAATTCACCACCGCCACAAGCAGTTGAAATAAAAATGAGTAACGTGAACGTAAAGGGGGTTGCCCACAACGACGCGAATGAATGGGCGGTACGCTCAGCACCCTCTTTCCCGTCCTGTCGGCACGACACTGCGATTGCGACGAAACTTTCATTTGAAATATTAAAAACAGCCGCGATATTATTTCGTGATGGCAGATGTATACGCCTTGAACAAAACAATCGTAATTTACAGCGTTGGGTTTACAGTTGAAAGTTTGCAATAAAGAACCGCAAACTATCCCGATCAGTAATGACTGGAAATAGTCGCATGCAACACGCAATTCACCAGCGCGTAAATTGGGAAGCCTAAACAACGGCGTAAAAACAATTGAATTGTCGCGCGTCGAAAAATCGTCGCCGGTTTGCGAAATTGAACAACAAAACTCGTTAAACGCCGGTGATGCGTCATCAGCACTATTTTCCTTTTCGATTATTGCATGGCGTACGCATGTCGGTGTGTTGATGTGTTAATTACAACGTTTAGATTAAGTATTATTATTGAATTGGTGGTAAATAAATTCGTGACGGTTTGGTTTCGTTCTGATTGAAAACGATGATAGGTGGTGGCACGAACTCATCCTCTTGACATCTCTTCGGGTAAGATACGATCGCTGCTAATGCCTTTCTCTCATTCATGCGCATCACGAACGTCGAAGATATGATCACGAGATGATGCAGCCGCACAACCCGCTTGGTGGCTGCTAACAAAATGTTTGTGTTCCGAATTGTCGTCGGGTGCGCGTCTTATCGCGCGCTGGCATCGCTGTCTTTTCAGTGTTCAGTGCTTGATGGACAAAGAATGAATCAATTGGTGTGCGCATTGGAATGAATTAAAATGCATCATATGCTGGTACAATTATAATAAATTTATGCTTTGTGTGGTAAAGAAAATGGCGTTTCTCTGTGGTTCATACATTAGTATGGTTGTAGATATGTGTGTGCTTATGTTTCTTTGCGCCCCTTTCCATGCTGTACTAGAACTAACAACTTGCATGTGGAGTTTAGTCGTTTGGAAGGCAGATCTCGAGTGGTGCTAGACTTTGCCACTCGACGCCTGAGGCGCCTCCGCCCGACATTGGCAGCCCCGTATTATCGTTGGAGGATTTGAAGGAAAGTCGAGTGGTGCTCTTGAAATGAAACGAAATGAAACGCAACGCGACGCGATTGTCAATTGTTGCGGACGTATTTGGGAAACTTTTGAAACAGATTTTGGTATTTTCATGTTTAGGCAGAATTTTAACTGTAAGTAATGCTCAATCACTGACTCAATGCAATTATTTAACTGCTTCTTATTGTAATAATTACGAAAATAATAATTTTTATAACAGAAATTACTTATTAGTAGAAGCAGTTGTAAAAATATCTGCAACTTCTATAATATAATAGTGCTTAGTATTTTATTTTAATACTATTCAAATTTAACGCTTACCTACTCATGGCCTATTTCTTTTATGCTACAACAGTAGTCTTTTTAAAGTTTTGTTAACAAACAAAATTACAACTATGTTATGTTTGAGTACCTACTCTAATAATGCCTTGGTTATTTTTCTTAGATATTTTGGTGTTATTGCTATAGAAATTTAAAGTTTTAATTGAATCTATTGAAAGATAAATCAAAAGTTAAAATTTTATATTTTGTAGGAGCAGAAAATATTTGCTTATTTTAATATTTTTTTTTTTTTAATTTGTAACCATTTTTGTGATAAATATCTATAAGTAACTAGCTTTTGCCCGCGACTTCGTCCCGATAGTGTTTAATAAAAATGTAATTTGTTTTTACTCTCTTGTTTTAGACATAGTATGCGTCAATTCTATCAATAAGATTCGCAATTTTAGCGCACCATCTCGGATTCAACTATTTAACTATAACTATGATTGAATCTCAATGCTAACTTTTATGCTATATAAAAGGGCTCTCTTCAGGGTTTTCCCGGCATTTATCCAAATTTTTCTTGCCGTATAAACCATCTTTGGACTTTAAGGAACATTTTTAAAAAGGAATTGGCTAAATTGGTCTAGGCCAGTGGTTCCTAACCTGGGGGTAATTACCCCCGCAGGGGTAAAACGGAGATTCTAGAAGGGTAACACGGATAGCACGATATAGTATTAAAATAGCAATAAACAAAATAATAGTACGGTAAATTGTAGCACGGCGCTATTTATATATTATATAAATTTATATATTACTTTACTAGTTTCGTAAACGTGCAATTTCTTACATAATAAACATATTTTTGTTCGAATTTAAGTGGTTTTAATTATTTTAAATTAGCTAGGGGTAAACTCAATTCCCATACTTGCTCACAGGGGTAGTGACCTTGAAAAGGTTAGGAACCACTGGTCTAGGCGCTTTTGAGTTATGCGCTTTCCTACAGATTTTGGGATTCATTTTTATATTATAGATTTGTTTCATACCGCAACTGATTTTTAATATTTAAAATATATTACCTACAATACAAAACCTTTTTTACCAAAATTATTCAATAAGACAAAACATGCTAGGTAGGTAATCCTAATTTTCTTTCATAATTTAAAAAAGAAAAAAAAAACGTCATATCTTATTCTATAATGTCTTAATAGACACACAAACATAAAAATTCCACAAGAATTAGAATTCCATCACTGTTGTAAAATAAATATTCTTTCAAATGTCCAACTTAAAACTTATCAAAAATCACAAACTTTAAACCGGATTAAAATGTCTCAAATAGGTATTTTGCTTTCGTAACTTCATCACTAAATATTTACTTTTCAAAACCCGATTCTTTTCTATTTGACAGAGAAAATAAACGTCACAATCCACAAATATGTTCCAGAAAGATTACCTTTTTCAGATTTTGATTGTAATCGTATCATAATAATCTGATATAGATTTAAATCTAAATCTAAACTGGACTATACGTAATAAATTTAAACTTTGTATCATCATACGACATCTGAGTTCAATAAATCGTCAAATCGTAATCAAAATCGAGTAGGTATGTCCCAGTAGTCATAACAAAACTTTTAAGTGTAGGAAATTATCATGTTACGAATCATCAACAGATTTATTCAAATTATAAAAATATCTCAAACACTGATATTTGACACAAGTATCTAATACCTAATGTGAAAAATTGCTGGGTTTTTATCAACCATTGATGTTCTTTTTCATTCATAGTGTGACCACAATGCGTTATGCGGTTAGATTTCCCCATAATCCGATTTTCAGGTAAATTTACGGCAAACAATGCGCACAAAGTGCGTTTTTGTGTGCGTCCCACACCATTTCATACACAATCACGCATAATACTTTAATCCTATGAACGGTCTTATCTTACGTCTTTCAGATTCACACGTTTCACTTAGGCGCACATTAGTGGCACAATGCGGTATTAAATATCAGTAAAGTAGACTTGGAAAAAGATGTAAGATAGTGAAATGTATAGATTCAGAGAGTAAACAAAACATTGCTGACACACGTAATATTTTCACATGTTTTAAGCAAATATTAATATAAGTAATTTTTCATGTTTTTTTTTTCATTGATTTCAAAAAAGATATTGATATATAATATTTTCTATTAGGAAAATTCTTTTATAGTATTAGGGTGGGCATAAACGTTCTTTTCTGTTGTCCTATCATGGCGATAATAAAAAAATGCCTCATAATTACAACCGTTACATTTTTGTAACTAAAAAACGTTAATAAATTGTTTTTTAGAGTTTTTCGAACACATGTATTCCTATCCTAAAAATTTTGTATAATTGTTAGGCAAAAATGTATGTAACAAAAACTTCTTGGCAGCGGTGGGATTCGAACCCACGCCTCCGAAGAGACTGGTGCCTTAAACCAGCGCCTTAGACCGCTCGGCCACGCTACCCGTTGTTCACGCAGTTAAAACGTACTGTATATCAGTATCAGGTAATCAATACTATAGATAATATTCAAATGGTGTTAATTAATTCCGAAATAACGATAACAACTACCTACCCAGACGAAATCATGCGTAATCGCGATTAATGTGCAACACAAACACGTCGCAGGCATGCTTGCGTCGCACTCTCATCGAGTGGCGATAACAGACGCGTGAATTTAAAACAATTATATAAATCAATTACGATTAGTTGTGTTTTTCACTGCGCTAAGTAACACGGATCTAACTTAATATAACCATCAAATCATTGGTATGTATATATGCAAAACCAATACGTGCACCAACTAATACTATTCATGTTGTTGAGTCTAGTTATTAATACATTCATGATTCTAATGCGGCGTATTTTTATAGCGGGCAACCTGGAGACGAAATTTTGGGACTGGCTGGCGCTATCGGTATATCGGCGTTGCGCTATCACTGGTGTTGACCTTTGTCTGGAGAGTAATAACAAACGGCATATTGGACTGCAGTCACTTTACGGATCGCATCATCCTATGCGTCAGTTCTCTGCGTGCGTTGACGAGCATGTTCGTTGCGTTGCCATCGTGACTAGGGCAATCTGCACGTCCCAGTGTCCTGCACCTTTTCGCCATTGATCAACAACACGATGGCGCACACAGTCATCGTGAACGTAGGCATCTACGACTCGATGCGCATCCGATTCTTGGCTCTGGTGCTCGGTTTATGGATCATCTTGAAACGTTTCACGAAATGGGCCTGGAACCCAACCGGATTCTTCAGCATCGAGCTGCGGGATAACCCTCCAAGTTGTTTGGTTGATACTACACTAGGACAACACAAATATGTTAAACTTAAAGTAAGTTTATATACAATTAAAATAAATAAATGTTTTTTTAATAAAAAAAAATATTTTAGGGAATTAAATTCCATTATGTTGAAGCCGGTGGAAGATCTCAACCATTAGTAGTCCTCCTACATGGATTTCCAGATTGTTGGCTCAGTTGGAGATCCCAGATCAACGCTTTAAGCGATCACTTTCGTGTCGTGGCTTTGGACCTCAAAGGTTTCGGGGATTCCGATAAACCAGTCAAGCGTAGCTCCTACCGAATTGAAGCTATTCTAGAAGAGCTAAAACAATTCATTCATTCTCTTGGTGTTACCAAATGTACAATCATCGGGCATGACTTGGGTGCCCTCCTTGGTTGGTATTTAGTCCATCGTGAACCGGAATTAATCGAAAAATTCGTCACTGTAGCATGCCCACATCCGAATCTCTACTGGCAGACTATTTCTACCCACAGTTACTTTAATTCACAATGGTTGAAATTCATCCAATTGCCGTATTTGCCTGAAATCGACGCAATGAAAGAAGATATTAATATAATCAATGATCACTTCAGTCATCTGCAGAACAACGGCAAGAAAAACAATTACCTTGAGGCGTACAAGTACGCATTCTCACGCAAAGAAGACTGGACCGGCCCTATTAACTATTACCGAAACCTCCCCTTTACCAGGATCAGCGAGGACTCCGCCCAGATAAAGACCTCCACGCTACTGGTGACGGGCAATAATAAGTCCCAATACGCCAAGTTGGAGGGGGTGGTGCAATCGACGGACTATTGCGAGAAGTTTCACGTGAAGATTATTGATGGTGCTGGACACTTTCCGCACCAGGAGAACCCGGAGATGTTTAACAAGGTGGTTTTAAAGTTCCTTAAAGTCTCCACCATTGCTGAAAAGCAGGTGGAGAATAGATCGCCATCGCAGGGGTTGATCGGACACTTCTTTGGCGCGGTGTCAAACACTGTCAAATATGGTAATTCGGTTATAGATTCAGTTCAGAAGAAAACCGGTGGTAGTATACCGACCAGTTTAGGGCTGACGTCACAGAATAAAGACAAGTAAATGAGATTTAAACAAGAAAACGCGTAGCCTTAGTAATTATTCTCGATTTGTTACTCACGTACATTGTGGGAGAATGTATGTTGGGTATGTTTTATCTAAATCTGGGCTGTGATCAGGGATTTTAATGTCTTTTACTTACATTCTTAGTCCAGTGCGGTGAATATTTGTAGGTTAAATATTACAACAGTTTGTGAACTTACTACGTTTAGTTGATTCCAATAGACCTATTGTACACTTAATAGTTATAAACATTTACACTGTTTAATACTCGTTTTAAATAATTTAAGAATACATATTTAAACCAAAAACATAAATTTTACAAACTTGAAAAATTAAGGTTAGAATGTCAAACGTATCATTTACAAACTGACATTTCTTTTAAAAATTTAGATTTATAAGTGAACAAAATTTCTGTATACAACTTCTCATGGCTCAATCCCTGCGAGAAAACTCAAACAAATCCAAACATGTGAATCTCGAAAAAGAAATTCAAGATCTGCGCAAAATTCTTGCTGAGAAGGAAAAAATGTTTCTGGAACGACGACGAATTGTATCCGATGAGATTCAAAGCAACATGGACACAAATAAATATAACAAACATCTTACCAGCAGAGAAATCACTAGATACAGTCGGCAAATATTTTTAATGCAGAACCACAAGCTGCAAGTTCTTTTAAAAAGCAAATCAGTGCTTTTAGTTGGTTGTGGATCGTTGGGGTGCGTTTGTGCCTTGTATTTGGTTGGGGCGGGTGTTGGAAATTTAACAATCGTAGATAATGGGTATGTAAATACTGTTCATTTGCACGGACATATCATTCACAACGAAGAAGATGTTGGAAAAGCAATTGCTAATTCAGTGTATGACCATCTCAGAAGGTAAATATTAAATTTTTAAATACGACTCTGCCCTTAAATTGTAATGTCAAAAATGTCAAAAATCCGTCATTTAAACCTATGATTTGAACTCGGTGAAACGTGAAGTTAGTTGTGTTTTGATTTTGAAAATATTTTCCTTTATTTAAAATGGGTGATGTTGATATAGAAGTAACAAAGTTAGAGGAGGAAATTCGTAGTCTAAAACAACAGTTATCAGGCATGGAACTAAAATTGTATCAACTCAAACAGGGATTTGTATGCACCGCTATAAACTAACCTCAAAATTTAAAAATTCATACAAAAGTTCTTAATAATTCTAGTCTCCCGAGGATAGTAATAAATTCAATGCGGGCCTAACAACCAAAGAAGTCATGAAATACAGTCGACAAATTCTTGTACCTTCTCACAATGTGGAAGGCCAAATATTACTCAAAAATGCTTCAGTCTTAATTGTTGGTGCAGGTGGACTAGGTAGTCCTTGTGCTAACTATCTAGTAGCTGCAGGTGTAGGTTCAGTAACCATTGTTGATAATGATGATGTTGAAAATAGCAATTTGCATAGACAAATTTTACATTCAGAAAGATCTATTGGCTTGGCCAAAGTTGACTCAGCATATGAACGCTTGCGAAGGTATAAGCTATGAGTATATTTAATAATTGTATTGAAAATATTGTTGTAGTATCAACACTGCTGTGGACATCATACCAATTCAAAAGCATTTTAACTCAACAACTGTGAATGAAATAATGGCAAAGAGGAAATATCATGTTGTCATTGATGGAACAGATAATGTAGCAACCAGATATTTACTGAATGATGCATGTGTACTCAATGGATTGCCACTGGTATCTGGCAGTGCACTACAAATGGAAGGACAGTTGACTGTTTACCATTACATGGGTGGCCCATGTTACAGATGTATCTTTCCACAGCCACCACCACCTCAAACTGTTAATAGTTGTGGTGATAGTGGTGTACTGGGACCAAGTAAGTTTTGAATTTATAATAAATATTATTAATATTTAAAATATATACATTATTTTCAGTTCCTGGCACAATTGGAGTTCTCCAAGCACTGGAGACAATAAAAATCTTAACTAAACAAGCTGGTGTCTTGTCTGGTAGATTACTGACTTTTGATGGATCTGATTGTACATTCCGTAATGTTAAGTTGCGTCCGAGAAGCGATTCTTGCGTTGTTTGTGGGTTAAAACCTACAATAACAACATACATTGATTATGAGCAGTTTTGTGGAGCTAAAGCAGATGATAAGGTGGAAAATGTTTCTCTGCTGAAACCAGAAGATAACGTAAATGTGAATGCACTAACTTCCCTGCAGGATAAGTTAATTATTGATGTTCGACCCGAGCTTGAGTTTAAAATGTGTCATTTACCCGAATCGATTAATGTTCCCTATGAAGATCTAAACAAAGATGAACGATTCATCATCGAGTTACGGGAAATGTTTAAACCGCTCAGTAAACAGAATGTTTTTGTGATTTGTCGTCGAGGTAATGATTCTCAGCGTGCAGTGCTGATGTTTAATGAAAAGATTAAAGAGACGAAGGTAAAGTTTTTGAACATTCGAGGTGGTCTACACGCGTATGCAAAACTGATTGATCCGGAATTTCCAGTCTACTAACTGAACTTTTTAATTATTTTTTTGATTTGTCAACATTTTGCTGAAATAAAATCTATTTTTCGTCGTTATCCAAAAGTTCAAAGGTCGCCAACATTCCTTTTTCTGCACTCGGTGCGCCAAGAGTGATTTCTATTGACGTGTTGATGGAATCACTGGGACTTTCTGCTTTCTCATCATCATATTGGAAAGAAATGGAATCTAGTAGTAATTCTCGCAAACGGAGCTCTTCACTTACTTCTGCCTCGAGGAACTTGCTTCGGGATAAACAATTGTGGGTGCATTCACGTCGCGTACGTCGTATGAACATTTGGCGCAAGTTTTGCCGTCGTCTCTCATCGCGGCTGGCTTCATCCGGCGGACCCCAAGTAGTCAGTGGGTTTAAAATGATTCCACTACATTTCTAGTGCAGAAAAGTTCAATAGAGTATTATATAGATGAAATTAATTAAATGATTGCTACCTTTTGCAAGAGAAAAGTTTTGATCACACCGAGAAACAGCGGTGCTAACAAAACAACCAACGAGAAAAGAATTCCTCTCTCCAGCATTATAATTTGTTTATAATCATGTACGATGCATATAACATATAACAACAGCAATTCCTGCCGGAGAAATATAATTGTGGTTAGGATAGTTATTTTAAAGGTTATGTGAGATTAAAATTACCAGTCCAAACATAAGAAGGAATTTCAGCCAGGCAGAGTGTGGATATTCACACTCGAACATAAACTGATGATCGCCGTTTAGACGTTGCATGCCGTAAATCCCTATCCCGGCAATTGTTAGTAAGAAAAGTATCATGGTTATGTGATAAAATGCGCCATAATGCATTTGCACCATAACTAGATTGATTGAGGTGACGCTGCAACCAGCAGTACATGCTCCTAGGATCAATATAGTCACAATGGAGAAAATGTTTCGGAAGCGATATATCCACAGCTTCCAATGCGCGAGAGCCCAAATCAACAGCTGGTGTGAGGTGGTGATAAAACACAGGACTTTCGCACAAATGGTTACTATGTAGATTGGAATCAGGACAATTGCCACTTTCTGACTACGGTACACGATTGAGTACGGGATGACAACCAGGAAGAAGTGCAAGCCTATAAATTCAACCAGAATAAAATAGGATTCTTATGCATAATTAGATTCATTAATATAACAGTTACCCGTTGATGTAAGGCAATTAAAATCTCCACCGATCGCCCGAGCATAATCTTGCATGAAGAATACAAGTACGTAGCTTAACCCACATCCAGCTAAAGCAGTTACCAAGGTGTTAGTTACAATTTGAGTCCTGCTTAAGAGGCGATCGCTTAAATATCCTATCGTTATATAATGCGAGGGCAGATACTCGCTGACAGAAAATGCGATCAAGTGCAGATAATCCTGAAAATATTTGTTGGTATCACAAAATCAGCGTGAAACGAAGTGTTATACATATCGTACTTTAATCTGCAGATTACCATTCTTGCCATAACTGTAGTTTTGTTCATAGTCGTCAGCACAGATAAACGCTGTCAGAACCATTGCCGAAATAATACACATAAACATAATCGGCACCATGCGCGTGAAAAACCTATGCAGTTTCTCAGCTCTTATAAGGCGTGTTACCAACATTACTACCCAAATACCAACGACAACATACACTCGTGGAAGATACAATTCATAAACAATTTCCTCGGCTTTTAAACCCACAATGTCATGCAAAACGCGTGATATTCCGTAATCGACTCCACTGGCGAATATAACGGATTGATTTCTATCGCAAGTCGCTTTCACCTTTGGAGGCGCGATCTTGAGCATGTATTCTTCTGTGTAGTAACCACCAAAGAGCATCAACAAGCTTGATGATAACAGCAGAGTGCTTTCGATCATTTTGAGGCATTCGAAGAGGCCCAGAGAGACAGAAATACCTTGTAGTATAGGCACCATTTCCCATATGTTGATGAACGAACGCTCGCCATATTTGCCAAGAAATCCGTAGAGATATCCCAGAGCAGTACACACCAGCAGATTACTCAACGTGAAGACGAGCGCAACTATCACTGAAACACCAAAATAATAAAATTCTCTTCATTGTACAGTACAGTAATCTCTACTGGGTCCTTTATCAAGTGTATGATCCACAAAGCCACAGAGGATACGAAAAGTGAAATGCAGATTGAGCAAGATAAAGCTGACATCGCTGGGTGTCACTACCGGTTTGGAATAGACTGTTAGGCGAGATCCCTGCGAATATTAATATCAACTTAAGATGATATACAATTATATAAATAAATATTTACAAGAAACAAAGACTTCTTCGCCTTCCGAACGCTTTTGCGCGCAGCTAAAGCCTGCTTCTCTTCACGAAACTTCAAAGCGCGCTGGCGCAGCGATTTGTACTTGTTATCCGTCTTAAGCATCGTGTACGATGATCTGACAGCTGATTAATAACGAGCCGTTGAAATGTTTAAATATAAGTGTATTTTAATGTAATGTTTTCATAGAAACAAGAAATCATCGCCGCGATGATCTTCGTTCACATGATGTGCTTGTAATACAAATGTTAAATAACGTTATACGACTTACAACAATTAATGAGTATATAAAAAGAAAGGCTAAACCAAGTGCTTACAAATCTAGTTCAAAATCTTTCAATGTACATAATATAATTTATCATTTTAGTGTAGATTATAACAAAGCCGCTCGCAATCGATTTTAAAATCCAAGCGGTGTTTGTATGTACAAATTAAACTAAGCTTACGAGCTAAAGTAAAGCAATTTTTACAATTGGTGAGTAGTGCTTGGACGTATTTTCAATGATTTCGCGTTCACCCCTCCCCGACATTCACATTTAAATTATTTGTACTATGAATAAAAAACACAAATTGTCTTAGTAAACTAAAAGCTGCATTTTAATGTACGCCTTCCGTGTATAATTAAAATCAACTTTGAGAGGTCCGTTTAATTAAGAAAAGGCGCTTGATTTAAAAATACAAAATACAACTGATACGTGGGTGGCACCAAGCCGCGCGCGATCCGAATAAGTGATGTGTGTGTGACCAACCAAAACGGTTCGTTAATATATATATATATAGTTTTAAATTAGTGCATACCACATGGGTTTTAATAAATAATAAATTAGTGTGAATAATATACAATTAGTTCTGTCACGGCGCGCGCGCGGAGCGATTGCTGGCATCGCGTTGAATCTACCAGCTCACAGAGCCGCGATAAATCTAATAGAGAGCTTTGTGCACAGGATGGCAGCAATCGCGTGAATGTCGCCCCGACGCATTCTTAGCTATGAATCAATTCGATTTACTTAGGTGCTAGTTGTGTATGCTAGTTAGTCTCGGCATTTGTCTATCGCCGCGTGCACCGCCTCGGTGATGCTTTCGAATACTGGTATTTGCTTTCGCTTCGCCATGTCGGCGAGGTAGACTCGTCCTCGGTTGTAATCCTTAATCGCCTGTGTCGTCAGCTGCAAACAAATATATATTGTAAGCAATTTATTTTTTTAGGTTAGGTTAGGTTAATTTTAACGTACATTTTCACCAGCGATTTGAACGCCTTCAGCTGCCAAGTGTTCAATGCAGAGTACGACGTCGCGCTCGAGACCGAGGTAGTGCGCAGCCAGGATCATGCTGCTCAGGGAGCGCGTGTCGTTGGTGATGTAAAATAATAATACGCGGCTATTGTCAAGCGGCCGTTTGAGTTGCACGAGCGTGTTTTCGGTAACGCAGGCGTCGCTGCTGCCGTTCGAGCTGCAGTACGTGATGTTTTTCTCCTTCAGCAGCGGCTCGAATTGCGCACGCCAGTCTTTGCCGGACCGCGAGCCGCCCAGAAATAAATCAAACGACATCGTTTCGTTATTCGCCGATTTGAGATTGTTCGATTCGCTTTGATTGTTGAAGGGAAGCTGTCGGCTCAACCAATCTAAACGAATGAAACAAATTTAATACACACCTTCATAGTTAGAATACAGAATGACTTCGAGTGCAGTAAACAAGTGCTCTTTTTGTTTTAATAAGCGATGAAAGTAGTACCTATGCAGTTAATGAACGTATTAGTAAGCTTCGTCTGAAATGTCGCCAAGCGCGCGAATAATCTAGAGTCATTACCGTCGCCGCTCGTAGCGAATGGCTCAACGCCGACATCGTCAACGCCGAACTCAGCCACCAGCACGCAGAATTGATCGAATGAGATTCGAAGATGCGCCGCGTCGGCGCGCTTTGTACTCAGGTAATCGCACAGCGATCGTAGATCTATCGTTTTGTTTGTCAGTCGTTGATAGGCATCTACGACACTAGTTAAGCTTATCTCACCCGTCTGATTCGCATCGAACGAATCGAAAACTTCGCGTAATTTCCTGCAACAAACCAAAATCATAGTAATTTCATCTCACCATAGTATAAAGTTCAAGTTAAACTTACTTTAACTTATGCGTGACTTGCTCGTCGGCAGTCATTCCGTTCGTGGTGCCGTTGCGCAAAATATTCGCGGTGCATTGTAACGCGGTCGCCAAACTGTTGTGCACCTTGATGCCTTGGCTCTTAACTAACGCTAGTAAACTTGTCTGCCCGTTCACCAAGTCTAAATACTCACTGCAAACAAACATTTTAATTATTTGACTGAAATTTTGATTTTTTTTTTTTAATGTTTTACCTTTGTGTTATTGGCTCGTCCATGATGGCTTGCCCTTCTCGGTACGGATAAGCGACTAAAACGACGCACCGACCCGAGGCGACCAAATAAGCGACCTCCAACATACCCACAACACTGCGCGTTTGACTATCAACGACATAAAGTAGAAGACATGCTGATTGTTTGGCATTGTGTTCCAGTGCAACCAGTTCTGGTGCCCATGCAGACACTTGCTGTAAATTAAATAATATTAATTATTTCATATTTTATAGTTAATTATTTAATACTCACTGGATTATAATATGTGATTCCATGCTTCTGTAGTTCTGGGATAGCTGTATCTGTCCTCCATGTGGTAGGATTGCAAGAACCACCCAGAAACACCTCAAACTTTTCAAGGCACTCTGCAAATTTAAGTGTTAGGTATGTGTGGCTCATTCATGTGCATCAGGGCATTACTGTTTTCATTATGAGGCTGGAGTTGTAGTTGCGGTGGCTTCTGGTGCACAATGTCTTTATGCTTGGGCTTTTGCATTTGCAGTGTGCGGGTGATGAAGCATAACTCACCAAATGTCAGGTATTGTGAGCCTCCATTCTTCCTACCTATGTGTTTGCTCTGCCTTGCACATTGAATCATTTTGTCTACTGTAAAATACCAGAATATGTTAGTTTTGATAACAATAATTAGACAGTTGGTATTGTTTACCTCAACAACAAACATATCATTAGAACTGACTTAAACTAGATTAATATAAATATAAAGCACTATAAACTATGAGTAATTGCAAAGAGTATCATTGTTTGTGATGTTATGGAAACGAAATTATGACTAGGGGTACTTTCCCCATTGTCAGTGAATCAGTTCGATTCGAGGGTTAATTTGTTTACATGATATATGTATAATGGGTGGCCTACAACGACACAACGTTTTCGATGTGAAATAAAGTTTTGAAGCATATTTACCTTGAGCGTTCGATACGTATAACTTCATATCGTTGAACAATGCTTGCAAAGAGTCACCAGGTATTTGTCGTGGTCTATGCCCCAATCGTCCGCAAATTGCATCGTGCACTTCCCTGAAAAATTAAAACCATTGTTACCAACAAAGAACAAAAAAAGACACGAAGTTTCGGCGTGGATGTCAAAAGTTTCTTGTTACCGTTGCTTTGACAGCTTGTTGAGCACGTTTAAGATTAAAAGAGACATGATTTGCAGAAGGTAGGTCTTGTACACGGTGAAAACAGTTAAAATCAGCACGGATTCAACGAGTTCCTCGTAGTCCACGACGATCCGGTTGTCCATCATGGTGGACGACACGATTTCGCTCGCTCAAATACGTTTGCCAACACCGAAACATCGAGAACTACTGTGAAATGAACTGTGCCGCAGCACCGCATCGGGCCTCACCATTCCCCGCGATAAGATAACGATAAGTAAAGTGACGCGGTGCGATACGCAACTACAAGGTGAGTGTTTAAAAACAATTACCTTTTTTCAGCAAATGGCGTGTAAACAACGGCTGCCGACGTGCAGAAAATAATTGCGACGAAAAACAGCATTGATGCTTCCTCAGTCGCCATTGAAATTATAACTAAATATAATTCGTATATGGAAATATCAATGACAGCAAAAATGTTTGTATTTAATTATTGCTTGACCTCTACTATCGAATATTTACTTTGGGGGCCATCATAATCGAACGCAGTTAATCAAATTAAATTAAATTGATTTGGAGCAAGTTGTAAGCAGTTTGCAGCGCCAAAAACAAGTAAGCCTAAACCTAACCTAACTTCTTGGCTATAATATGCATAAAAACGTAGTTACATCAGCGCGAGTTGCTCTCAAAACATAAATAGTTACACGCAATTATCGTGGCGTGAGCTTCTTGCATGGTTTAACGCGCACACACGTCGCAAACACAGCGCAGCCTCAATAAGATCGTCAATGATTTGCGAAATTAAGCACTGTCTACATCCAGTCTGCCACCGCGCTCACCATTACTCAGAAGCGCATCCGATGCTGGTGGACGCGCTTGGAAGTCGGACAAAAGTGTGTGCAAGTCAGCGACGCATTTAACGCACTTTGCATTGGCACCGATAATCGCGATGTTGGAAGCCACGCCAGAAAAATCACACAAAAGGACGAAAACAGGCGTGGTATTGGCGATGCGCCAAATCGCGCATGGAATTCGGCGTTAAGCATTAAATGATTAGGACATGTCGATGTCATTCGCATAAAAATTTTAAATTGTAAAATCCATGGGAAACAAAATTTTTATTTGTAACATTTTCCAATATGAAAAAAAATAGAATAAAGTAATGTCAAGAATGATATTTAACAAATGTATGGCAATCTGTATGAGAGACAGTTACATTCGGACAATGCGACGGCCGGTGCGCACGTTCTTTCAACTTTATTCCGGACTATGACCTTTACAATGGCCGGCACGTCGCCGACGAGCAGGCGCATCGCAGATATTTATGGCGAGTCAATTCTCGGCGATGACCGCAGGTCTGCAGCGTGCGGATCACTAACTAGACCCGCAAAACGCTCACTTCTACACTGCGAAACACATCAAAAAGGAAACAAACACACAAAAAAAAACACGACACCAGGAAAAAGAAAAGCGCACCTCGTCTCGCAGCGGGTATGCGATGAGATCATCCCAATGAAAAGCTCGCCAACATCGTAATAACGCCGATAAATTAAATCCAAAGTCTTTGCGCCTGAAAAGCGATTTGTTTTTCTACATTTACCAATGACGTACCTCACAATGTACACAATGTTTTGTTGTTATTTGCGATCATATTATTGAGCAACTTAACGATGCTAATTTTTAAGTCATTCATTGAGATTTATGATGCTCACGATGCTCTGTGGTTTGGCAATCGTTTGCGAAACCACCAAACAAAACAAAATGGCAAGTATACTTACTAAATACTATATTGATCATTTACTTGCAAATTATGCTAATCGCATACAAGTGCACAAAGTACATAGTCGAAAAATCAATTTTTTTCGCGGGTGATAATTGGGGTCTATTAGGAGATCGTCAGTTTCGCACGTAAACAAGCTCAGGATATCAGGCGCACGAGAGGTATGGTAATTAAAATGACTATTTTTAGCTGGTTATCGATTTACAACAAAGCACAACGAAAAATTAATATTCAAATTATTTTATATGGGGCCTCTTGAAGATATAATCTTAGAGATTATCAGAGATAAAGAAAGTATCATCTGCTCATTTAAATAATAGGATAACAAATTATTTTCCTTGAAATCAGTCAAAAAATCATTTATGACGTTTTTACGGTGAAATGTTTTAAAAATTAATTTTAATTGTTTAATAACTTACCAGGAATTGACATCAACCTCAATTGTAACTCTCATATTGTATCTAATTTTTAACACAACGCGATAGAATGATCTAAGAACAATTATCCCCTCAACACCGCACATTAACACTTATAAAAACAAATTATATCACCGTGCGAACATACCGCACCACCGACGAAATGATGACTGATCGCTTTGGTCTTATTCGCGCTCAGTTATAAACCCACCAGTTGTATAATATGCGTTGAAACCATTCAAGCGGTATGCGACATTCGAGCATGTGAATAAATCACATGCATCAACATTGTTGTGTGTACGTGAACTCACGTTCTTCGGCGCAACACGAAACGAAACATTGGTTTTCATTAAAAGTTTCGAGTGTGTGTTTATCTGCGTGTTTAGGAAGTGTACGGAATTGTAAAAAGATTGTACGTGTTGAAATTGAAGAAGCCAGCAGCTCGTTATCAGACGTTTAGTCATAAGAGGTAACCTGCGCACTGTGGGAATGCTTGCAATCTGTCTTTGTCATATCATTTCCATTCAGTCATTCTTTTGTTGAATAATATTATGAATGCAATTTCTCGGATCTAAATAAGAATCATACGATTAGTAAAAATCAGATTGTTATTATATTATATTATTCACATATAAAACCCACGTGACACGATTTGGCGTCGTATTTTTAATGAATGAAACATTTCTTTCTGCTTCATTCATAAAAATTGCGAGGAAGTGTCCTGTTTCGATGGCGTTTTGTTTGCGTTTTCCGTTTGCGTTTATTTTACATTCGTAGCATTTTTGCCATTTTTAATATTTTTGTAAATTTTGAGCAAATTAGAAAGTATGCACGTGCGGTGAATGTTTACATCAAAACAATGTTTTGATTCCACCCGCACGTCGTTATAAATATTCCAAAATTATAGCAATGACGCTGGCCCATAAACACAGTGCGCGTACTTTACTCGTGGCGTTTGCATAACGAAAACGTAAGTTTGAACTTGACATCATTCAGCATGCGTGCATAGTTGATCCACATTTATATCTACACTTGAGTGCGAACATATTGTTTTGTCACTTGCCAACACCTCAACGTTATTTAGAGAAGTTACGCATTTTTATTTTTGTTTTAAATTATAGTTGGTAGTAAAAATGCAATTGCGGTTAATGTTAATGTTAATACCCTTATTAAGTTGTTGTGTGTGTACATATTGTGATTTGTGATGAGAGTATGAACTATGTGAGTTATGTGACTTCACAAGAAGTCGCTACGTGCCGCGATGAAAAGCAATAGGCATGACATGGCGTACGTATTACATAATGCCATCAGGCGTCACGTTTCGTTGTGTGTCGGCCGGTTGTTTATTATTGTTTGTCATTGCACTTCCATGCTTCCATGCCGGCGTAATGTTATTAATGTCGGCGCGTCGCGTCGCGCTCGTCACACGAATGTCGTCCTCCAGATGTGATAACCCCTCGGGTTCTAATCATAATAATCAGACTAATTTATTTGGATCAGAGTCACGTTAATTTTTTTGTGCGAAATAGTTAATTATAATTGATAAGTCATAAAATATAGTCATTTATTAATCATTGCAAAATGAATCTACATATTTTACTTACTTAATTCTTGAAGTAATTATTTAGTAGTAAATTCAGAATGTTTTTAAACAAAAATTCATTGATATTTATTTTCTAAAGTTATTTAGATAATTTACGAATCTATAAAATAAAAATTAATCGTAAAATCTGTTGGTAAGCGCATAACTCAACAACGCCTAGACCAATTTGGCCAATTCTTTTTTTAAAATATTTGTTAAAGTCCAAGGATGGTTTTTACGGCGAGAAATATTCGAATAATTGGGAAAACCGGGAAAACCCTAAAGACAGCTCTTTTCTATAGGATAAAAGTTGGCATTGAGATTCAATCATCGTTATAGTTACATAGTTGAATCCGAGATGGGGCGCTGAAGGGAATTATTAGCAACTATTTATATAATTAATTTCTTTAAAATAAAATTGCGAATCTTATTGATAGAATTGATACATATCTCTAGAACAAGAGAGTAAAAACGAATTACATTATTATTAAACACTACCGGGACGAAATCGCGGGCAAAAGTTAGTTGATAATAACTTTATGTTTAATATTTGGAAACAAAGTTTATTTGCACTGTTTGGTCAATAGTTTAATAGAAAATAATCAACGCCTAAAATAATTATTTTATGGGTCTATTTTTTTAATAATTACATACCAACTAATTAATTTTTATGATTAATGCATTCAAAAATTTATTCTGTATTAAATTTGGAAACAATTTTCGTAAATATTTTGTTGATAGCACTGTTTTGCCAAAAGTTATAGACACATTTGTATGCACGTTGTGTTTTTTACTTATGCAAATGTTTAATTGTTTATAACTTTTAACACAATCGTTTTAACAATATGTTACGTTGTACAATATGATACCGCAAGAATAATCATTCCATCACGTATTGTTTCCGTGTAAATAATTAAAATAAGTTGAATTATCATATTTTATATCAAGCGCCACTTAAAATCAACTTAAACATCCTATTATTGTTTGATAATATGCTCAGGAAATATCTTATCATATTAAAATCAACCCTTCAAAAGCTGCGCTTTTTAAAAACAATTGATAATGATTACTCCTTATTTTTAATCAAATTGATACTTTAAACCAAATGATTAGGCACATGTACGATTGTAATCTATGTTAACTACATGTTGTGGTAATTATAGTGGATGAAATGAATACGCCACCAGTCTACTGGTGATTTGCCAGTCTGACAGTGAGTACATACTCTGCCGGAGAGCGGTATCCCATACAATATGCGAAATACGCGAATTATATATAGCGCATGACATCATCGATATTTACATTCGCTGTTCGCCGTTCGCAGCGCACCGGTTCGACGGCGCACTTCACGTATCGGCACACGACGCACACACGCATCCATCGGCTGTGGCAAAAGGAAGCGAAAAGTTAGAGAATTTAAAATACAGCGTGTGTCTTAAGTGTCGCATTAAATTCTAATGGTAGCTATCAATTTAATTCCTATCAATTAAGACGCCAGGCAGTGAATGAAGCCATGCATATTCATTATTGACACTGCTTGATGCATGCAAATTGGATTACTAATCATTTTATTGATATTTATCGCCAATTATCGAATGGAAGATTTAAATTATATTTTGTTCCACTTTTGTCTATGCGTGTCAATGGGCTATATATACACAGGTGACGTTTTATTTCCGGCGGGGCGGCAGCCAAACTCACGACCACGCACGACATAAATTAGATAAACGATTACGACATTGACTTTCAATGTCTGCTAATCGAATGAACGCATCTTGATGTACTTACTTAAGGATCGATGAGTGGAGAAAATTAGCGATGACCAATCTGATGTTTTTTCGTCATTTGTAAATAAGTATGGTGTTTGCGTTATGTGCGTCTCATTTGTAACGATAAATTGAGCGGTACGTTTTTATTCGCGTTGAGCGAGCAGGAAGCAAGAGGCGAATAAACAGACAAACACAACACAATCGACGTGATTAACGTGGCAGCTCGTGGCGCTGGTGGCCTTTGAAAGTCACACACATACACACACACATTGTTTCTATCATTCTAATAATAATTACACGCATTTTATCTTTTAATATAGTTTCTGATACCTTATTTACTTCCTGAATAGCTTTTATTTTGATAAACAGGCAGAAGTAGTGATTTACTGTCAAGGCAGTATTGTACTAACTTTAGGCTTAATAATTTAATTTTCTTAGGTTTTTTTTTAATCGCGTTCTTCAAACATTTTGTGTTTTCTTTATTTTTCTACTTCCATCTTTAAAGTGCCAGTTTTTCACGGTTTTGAGACATAAAAAGTGGTACTTTAATCACGGGCTGTCAAAGCCGTGACTAAAGTACTTTAGTTATGGCCTTAGTCAGTCTTTTGCTTAAAAAAAGCATAAAAATGAAATGGTAAAATTTGCAGGTTGTAAATTAAAATGAAAAAGTTTGTTTTGAATTTTATAATAGTTATATATTTCGAATTAAGATGGCGGTAAAATGCACTTATTCACAGAAAATTTCTTTTGCCATAAAATAATATTCGCATTTTGCTACACGAAATAGAAAGTTAGTAGTTGTAGCATATAATAATTACTACAATTAATAAAAAGGGCGGTGGCAGGCGCCATTCAGGTATGTTGCAACACGACATTCCACAGCATTTGTTATCATTTCTCGTTAGTGCATTGTATGCGTTTGCGTAACGTAATACTTGTGCAACAAGTGCGATAGATATAAATATAACACAATTGTAAACTATTTTTACATGAAACTACCTGAAACTCGCATATTTTCGAAAAGTTTCTTTAAAAATTAATTCCATCAACATTTACATATCACATCATCCGCATATCAATATTATGATATACGCACTATCCTAACAAATGACACATTATACCCACAGATATCAAGATGACAATAAAGTTATATTTATATACTAATATAAAGTGTATACTACAGTGTGTACAGTGATGCGTGCTGCGGCAATATCTTGCGTTATCAGCAGATGCGTTTAGTGCTTTGGAGTGTTTATCTGTTGTTTGTGGATGCAGGCGTGTTATCATTCTCGTCTCTCTGTGTGGGTGCGCATGTGTTTGTTTGTGTATACTGATACACGCGGTAAAGTGCGTTAATAATACACATGCGATTATTTTATTATCGTGCTGTAGATGAGCTAAATGTGGATGTGACATCATTGTATTGTTAGCTTATTGGAAACAAGTCTTTTGTTATCAGTTTGAGGAGTATACGCAGTGATTTGAGTGTGTATTATAATTTAAGATATGATAAGTTGATATTTCCGGTCGTGATTTGTTTAAATTGACTAAGGTTTTAAATATATCTTCCGTAGATTCTATTATAAGTAACAATATTATTTTTAAATTTTATGCTTGTTAAATTTGCATAATAAATTTTGTATAAAAACATCCGGCGTCTAAAAAGTAGGTACAGATGAAAATAATAATATTAAAGATAGTAAAATAAATCAGAGATATATCAAAACATGTTTTCACTAAAAATGTGTTTTATGATTGAATAATTTTCTGGAATGTTTACATTAATTTGTTCTAGAAGCTACTTGTTATTGTTTGATATAAAACATAGATTAATTCAATTTTCCATGGTGTCGTACTCGACGTGACGCCACGCTGTCTAGTATTCCAATTGGACAATACAGTTGAGTATCATCTATCACCCGAACCTACTCATCTATTGTTAGAAATTTATCATTACACACTGATTTTTTTATACACACTTTTTCGTGAGAGAGGTATATTTACACAGGAAAATCCGTATTAAAATTATAAATACGTAAGTTCTAAATCGGAAAGTCGAAAAAATTGATATAGGTTTAATCCGGGATTGTGCTAAAGTGCATTTTAATCATTCCTATAAATTAAAACTGAGAATTTTATTAACGCAGTCAAAAAGTAGTACAAAAAACAGTACAAAATAGGTTCAAGTGACAAGAAATTAATTAGTGAGACTATTTTTTATTCCATTTTACGCGAACAAAAACTAATAGAATATAAACGCAGTAATTGATCGATTTATTGAATATTTCAAGGTATAGAAAAGTCTGGATAATTGTAGCAAACTCACCCTGAGTCACGAATAAAATACGTCATGAATTGCACAATATTATTTGAAAAAAACAGGGTAAAAATAAAATTAACTGTTACAGCTAATAAAATACGTGTTAGCGAAATTTCAAAGTCGCAAAAAATGTTTGTGGCTTACTTCAAACCGAATGAATGACACCATGACATCATCGATATCCGCAGTTACAAATATGAAACATTTAAAAGCAATACGTGTTTTACCTTTATTGTTAGAACCACTTTATTGTAAGTATTTAATAAATAACTGAGTTTAGAAGTTTGTGGTTTGTTCGTTCGTTCGTTTCAATACAAGCATATTGCATAAATGAATTGCGAAAACTAGTTCTAGGTCGAATTGTCAAATATCATGTGCGCGAATTACCTTTAACCGATTCATTAAACATACTGCATATTATATCCAATGCGCACAAAGTCATTAATAAGTAAAAAGATTGAACACGTTTCATCATCCCGTAGCACAGATTATTTGTATAGCTGATTAACTGCATTTGTTTAACACCACGTGTACATGCAAATATTTGCATTGAATACACATGAATATAAATGAAGCTCAATGCGCAAAAGTGCATAGAATTGCGCACGTTTTAGTCTTAAAACGTGAACAAACCGAAACGAAAGCGAAAGCGTTTCTCACCACGATATACAAAATATATTTATACTCGGCGATTGGCTGTAACGAGCGCAAATAAATACCAATTGGCATCTTGACTATGCGGCGTGATTTAAAATTTCATATATATTTAGGAGTTTCGGATGTTGGATGTGAATAAAGCGCACTGTTTTCCGAGGCGAGGTTCAATGTTGTTTATGAAATATGTATGCAGTATTTTCGTGCGCAACTCGGCGCAAAAATAAAGAGCCTCCCACGAAAATTTACGACGACGTCAAGCATTTATACACACATCAAGACACAGCTATTTGGTGCAACAAATCAACACTCATTTCCTGTACCAAAACTACAAAGTTAAAATTTACGCACGACGCAAAATATACATAAAAGTCATAATAAAATAAGTTATAATGCGTTTTTTTGTGTGTGAATATGATGGTCATTACCTAGTGAAGGTGCATTGTTTGCCGAAGCGATGGTCCAGCGCCGCGGCGGCATGATTGGGCGTCTTGCGCGCATTGAGATTGGCGAACGTCGTCAGCTGCTTGCCGTTGGCGCGTTGGCGTTGATGCTGGTGTTTACCGGCACGCGTGTTCCGCGAATTTAGCAGCGAATTCCTCGGAAAGTGTCTCACGCCGACTCGATCATAGCTGCTGCCGTTGTCGCGCAATCGCATGCGACGCGTTGCCGACGACGCTATCAGTTTGCCCGCGTCCATTGCGTACGCGAAACAATCGAAACCAGCAAAATTCCTAGCCGGAACACCAAAAGTAAAATTTCCAAAAGTCGCCAGTTGTATCTGCGTGTTCACATTGTGTGTATGTATACACTGACGATGCTAGTCTCTTTGTATTTGTTATTAGTCAGTGTAGAGTCCGCCATGGCGCCCGGCACCGCTGCGAGTTTGAATGCATATTTGTGTAAATGCACCGTTTTGTTTGGTAATGCGTCCTGTTTTGCAGGGACGCACAAATTCTTCGTGTGTTTTTCGGACGTGTGTCTTTGCGTTTTGGGGCCCGACCGTCACGCGCGCTCGCACGACGCTCGCGGTAGACTGGTCGTGTACGCCGCGAGACTATTTAAAACGATCGCAGAGGATCAGCCTGCCCCGCGACGCGGCCCCGTGGATTCAGAATGTTTATATTGTGTGATGTGTGCTGTGTGTGCCAACGGTGCCAGCAGTGCTAACCAGCTAGGCTACCAGCAGCTAGCATACGATCGCGTGTAGGTAGACTCTCGCGTCGACGTCATGGCATAACGAGGGGGGCGCCGAGCAAAAGGTTTTTAACACCGGCCTTCTGTTCGGATTCAATCGCTTACCCCACTGCATCGAACGACAAAACATTTATTTCATATTCAGTTAATCTGGTAGTTTTTGTTTGAGTTTAACATGAAAAATTTGCTTAAATTTGGTTTGTGAAAAATGTTTATGTATGGTTGGCTGCATATATCACAAATTACGTGTATAACCTAACTTGTTTCATATTATAAGATGCTAATAATGCATATTAACGCCATCTCGCTTCGGTGATTGAAACTATGATTGAATCTCAAAATATTTCAATTTTAAAAACGCAGTAATTTTTACGTAATCACAAATAAGCACTTAAATAAATTCATAACCTCAAATCTGCATTTATAATATTAGTGATAACCAGAATAACAAATAAATAATTAAAACAAAAAATAAATTCGGTTTTATTATTGATTGATTTTTGATTTGTAATAAATCTTATTATGCACAATGCGTCTGTGCCAATGACACATCCTGTATGACTTCATCCCAATTTAGCAAACATGATGTAAGCCTACAATAATACAATACAATCACCAATGTGCGTATAATTTTTTTGTGCGATCCTTTCTAATTTTCGCTACGTGCCTTTCATAAATATCAACAGTATATTATTGATTGTTTTGTTGCGCTGTGCACAAATCTGAATCCATACTGAACGCAGCGCATGTTGAAATGCACCAATGAGGCGAATTTGTTTGGCGATAGCGTCAATCAGACCGATCCAATCGATTTCTAAATATATCAATGATATCAGACCTTTTGTAAACATGCGCGTATCCACGCGCGACGCACGCGGGCATTGCGGCGACATGGGCAAATCGCAATGCGCGGAATTCTGCACGGAGATAACTTTCCGTCGTCGGCGGCCACACGTGTGACGATAAATCATTTAAATAGTTCCGGTATTACCAAGATATTCATTCTACTTCACCTTCAATGTTACACATGCTACTGGAAATGGCATAAGTAACTGTTTTGTTTACTTTTATTCTGGAGAATTATTTTGTGATCATCAATGTGTAATAACACATTGTTAAAGAGTGAAACGTAACATAAGTTTTCCATCATCAGGATTTCCAAGAATATATTTATGTGATCATCTATCACGTACGGTTTAACTGCAATCGCAATGTTTACGTCGATAATTACAATTAAAACGTTTTTCTACCTTATAATTTAAAATTTCAGAATGATTCATATTTCAAGCAATAGAACAACGCATTTGTTTTTTTTTTGTGTGTTGTGTTATGTGTTTACCTTCTAGAACATGTTGCACACGTTGAGTATAATTTATTTTCTAGTAAATACAGGTCTGAAATAGTGCATGAACTTGAAACGAGTACATTTCGTTTGAAAGTGTGTTAAATATGATGATGGTGTGAGTCATGAAGACAATTTCGAAGATATATTGTGTTGCGCATTAATGAAGCGAAAGTTGGGCCGCATGACAGCCATTTGCGGCGTGATTCGATGCGCGAAAAAAATTGGCAAGCCTTTGATTCTCATCATCATCATCATCATCATGATGAGTTCTTATGCTTTGAAGTTTTGCCTGTGGCAATCATCATACAATCGCTTGTTTTTTACACACGCTGTGTAAAAAGTTTATTAATCGTAATTGAATCTAATGCTGATGCATGATGTAATGCGCCCGCAAAGATCAAATTAATTAATCAATTAATTGCTTGCGCTGTTTAATTATTACGAGAAAATGTAAATGTTGAATGAATACCGCTTTGTTTTTATTCGCGAAAATTTTCACCACAAACTACACAACATAATCAATTATTATGAGATCTCTGTCAGAATGCTGGGAACGTTGTGGTTTCTATTTGCATGTATTTACATTAATTCATAATTTTCAATATTTATTCAAGCCGCACAATGTATGGCCATATTTATTTAGTTAATTTTTATTTTCTCGCGTTTATCTGCTTTGCATTTTTTATCGTTTCCCTATTAATATTGTATTCTAATTGTTCTATTCTGATGTATGACGTGATGCTGCTTGCCATCCAGTTGTTTGTTTGTGTTCAAGAGGCGTCTACAAAAATGGCGGCTGCGATTTCGCAGCGTCCGAAGGTGGTCAAACACTATTGCGGTTTAGATTTTTTTCCAGGTGCAAACTTGTGAAACCACTTTCGCTTCCAAGTCAATACTTCGAATGCCTTCACAGTGCAAATACTTTCAAATAAATTTGAAATTAAATGTAAATATGTAGGAATAGTTTCACATTTCACTTAGTGTGGATAATTAATACTAATAGATTATAATATCATTATTTTATTGGTGACAATATTAGTAAATACGGTAGTAAATTCGTTTACGGATTTAATAAAAATTAATTTAATTTTTCTTGTTTCTAAGACCGTTTCTAGGACCGATCAATAAAAATTGTAATTTTTAGTAATTTAACTTTAACGCCATCTCGGATTTAATTATTTAACTATAACTATGATAGAATCTATATACTAATTTTCATCCCATATTTAACACCCTTTCAATCATAATTTTCAATATTTTAATTATTATTCTCCTATTCAGGACCGAGACAAATCCAAAAATCATATATCTTCAAAATCTGTCCAGCCGTTCTTGAGTTATAAAAGTTGTAACTAACACAACTTTGTTTTACCTATATATTTTCAGTTTTTAACACATTCACCTGCGAAATACCTCTGTCTTTGCAAAACCACGTTTTGCGTCTCCTCAAGTCTCTCCTTCTTTGTTTATCGCAGAAAACATGTAAACTGTAAAAACATTCGAAGCAGCCATGCATGTCGAACGCGCTAGCCACGCTGTCTGATTGCGCGCAGTGCGCTCGACGATGATGCAGTCCGATGCAGGCAGCGGTGCGCACACTTTATGGCGATGCCGTTTATATTCAGTTTATTCCCCGGCTGTCGACAATAATTTACGAGCGGTGCACGGATTCGAGATGCAATTTAGCAATGCAAGCGTGTAGGTTTTAATGAATTCGAAGTCTCTAGAAAGCGCAGCGTCATAGCCCTCCAGTCATTAAATCCGCCAGCCAGCGTTGACGTCATTAACAGGAATTTTCAATTCATCTGCGCATGCGGAAGTTTAAACACCACCCAAGTTGAGACGTGAGACTTCACACTGCGCATGCGTATTATACATTTGAGGCTGTATCTAATATCTGTATATAATAATAAATAGTATAACCTCGCTTGATCAGCTTGTAACCTTGCACTTCTTCCCATTTATGAGTTTTTTTATAGTCTTGCAAGGCTATTAATCGAAAGTAACACAAAATGCGAAATTACGTAAAATGGAATTATAAACTAAAGTAACACATGCGTACGCGTAATTATTTCATGCGCACTCGAAGGTTGCAGAATGCCAAAACTATGATTTTCAAGTCATGGATTAATTAACGCACAATATACGATGACATAAACGATGACAACTAAGATGACCAATAATTGCCGTCGGCAAAGCGGCCAATTAGAGGAGAATAATTGCAACGCAACATGCGTAAGATGTTAGACGTTAATAGAGCAATAAACAAAATAATCCAATTAGATGTCAATAAAGTTAGCAATTGATCAGATTAATTTAATACTTGTTGAAATAAAAATAAAAATAAATAAAGAGGAAGTGCGAATTGAATTTGTGCCAAAAATGTAGCTTTCTCACCTTATTTGCATATTATAGCTTTCAAATCAGTAAAAATAAATTTCCAAAATGAAGTATTTAATAATAATATTGACAGTATTTAAATATATTTGGACGGAAGGTATGACACTGGCGAGAAACACAGAAAAAGAAAAATATTTGCGACCGCGTGTTGTCTCCTGCTACTATTTTTTATGCGATGAGATCATCCTGACTGGACTTCGCAACACAACACGCTTCTAATATTTAAAATGTGTGCGCTTTTCATAAAGAAACATAAATGCAAGTTGTGAATATGTAAATTATCAAATAATTAATAAGGTTGATCTTGTTATAGATAGATCTATTAATGTATAATTAATTAGATATAAACATTTAGGCGTTGTGGTTTCTATTGCACTTATGTAAGTTCTTTTGATTGTCGCCAGTTGTGTAGTTGTGGTACGTACATGTGTTTTTAAGCGGATTAAATTAACAACGCTAATTATGGTCATAAATTTTATTTATATTCATAGCGCGCGACGTAATACTCGATAACGTTAGAGTTGCACATCGAGAATGATTTGTTGCTTAATCAATTCAAATTTCTAATATTTTTGTGCGTTTAATTTTATTAATTTTTAAATTTATTTTTATTTAAAGCATTTTGTAAGAGAAGTTAATGTCTAACAAATTTTTCTGCGACTTACATATTATTTATTGCAAAGTAATGAATGTATTAGTAGAATAGAATGTTTTGTTCATCAATATTCATCAATCGCCCGCTGTGATAAAGCGGATTTTGATTGATTGATAAGCATCGCTCATATTGATGGCGCCTGAACGTGATACCATCAACTGGTAAAGCCGTGTTTTATATGTCTACATGACTGATTTGAAATTAGATATTTTTTATGGCTTTATAAACGCATCAAAATTAATTTATAACTTGTTTATGTTACCTTTGATGTTCTGGACACATTTTTATTGTAATCCCACACACTTTTAATTATATTAATCCAAAATTGTTCCAAAATGTTTTCATAGAAATAACTTCAATTTTCTAATCATTTCCACTGAATCACATCAAGTTGTTTTTTTTTTTGTAACGTTTAGATGATTAACAACGCGGTGCGTTGTCTTCACTAGAATGAAGACGAAATGACTGCTCGTGTCGGCTGGGAGTTGGAAGCCCGCGCGGATTGCCACCAACTAACCGACTAATACAACACTGTCATATTATCTTGTCGCCTGCGTTCACTGTCCTGTTTGTTATGATACATTTTATACATTTAACAAAGAATAAAGAAAACGCTACCGTTTTCAGTTGAGTATAAAAATTATGTTCAACGGTTTAAAATATTTTTAGATACATTTGAATGTATTTTTCGGCGATGCGATCGCATACGTCATTTTCATCGAATTCATAACAATAACAAATACATCGCGCGTCTGCAGTCTTTTTATCCGCGCCAATAAATTAATAAAAATCTGTTTGCACACGCGCGTTTTTGTGTTTATAATAATGAGGATGTTTGCTTTGATTAAATCGTTTTGAGTTCATTTCAAAGAAAAACTTGACATTGACTGATTGGCAGCGTGAATAAACAACTTAATTGCCGAATTATTTAAAAACTAATTCCAATTGTGGTCGGCCTGGTCGGTAAAGTAAAGGTAATTAAATTATACGTTTGTTTATTTAGTCACGTCACTTTACTCAGTTAATATGTAGAAGTCATCACAATTATTTAAAAAAAAACGTGATTATCTAATGTTTAATGTTTAAATGAGTTTAATGCTAAAATAATTACCTTGATGTCAATTGTTTTGAAATAAGTGAATTCGCGTAAGACAAAAAATTTCTAGACATTTGATAGGTGTGAATATAACAACTTTTCGATCAATAGCATTTCCTTGCCTTGTCAATTGATGAAATACGATCGCTTTGATCGGCGTAGTTTATCAGCTCCGTAAACGGATGACGCAAGGTGATTTCCTCAAGTCGCACTTTGTAGTTCAATCAAAGCTTGCGTTTATATCAAGGATATGAAGAAAATGCTTCCGTAAACGTTCCACGCTCGTGATCGCATTATTTTTATTGCAATCAAAAACGTGGGTTTTGTTTATAAACGTATTTTACCTTAACGTGTTTTTTATTTGTTTCCTTTGTGTATTAATTATTATCTACCGTTTAACAAAATGCGCTGGAAAAAAGAATACGAGCGTGCGTTGATCGTCACATGAGTCACGTTTATAATTAAGCGCCGATGGGAAGTTCACGGTCGTGCGCGAAACTTGAAAAATTGACGTGAGAGCGTCGTAATTTATAAAAGATGTTTATTATCTTTTGCTCTAGCACCATTTACGCACGTGTTGAACAATTACTTGCGGTTACAACTTGTGAAAATTCTGTAAACTTATTGAAAAGTTACAGTTTTAAATATTTCGCTAATTAGTGCTAGTTGTCACTTGCGTTGCCAAATAACAGTTTACAAATTGCCCAGGCTCAATGTCAGGGAACATTGGTCGAGTGACATGTGATTTTAAATTCTCAAAAATTCGGTCCAGTCATTAAGAACGCCTGCAATTCTAAAACGTGCGTGAGTCAATCGCTTGAAATTTCCTGTTTGTTTTGGACGCCAATTTTTGATTCATTCATCATAAATTTGTCTATTAAATTAACCTCTGCTGTTCTTTGTTGTTTTATATTAAATGAAAGAGATGTTTGCTTGAGTAAAATAAGTGTATTACCTGTAATGACATCCATTTTTGGGTTGAAGACTACCGTTAGGCATGGATTGTGCATCGGGTTGAGTGTCTTCGGCCATGTGAAGGCCCTGTCCCGTCGATGATGAGTAACGAACGCGTGCGTCATCAATTGCGGCGTCATTATTTAATTATCATCTTATGATGTGAATATCACTGCAATAGTAATGGGAAAAAAGGTATAAAATCGCCGCCATCAAAAAATATTAATAAAATATATTTAAATAATGCCTAAAATTGAATTTTCAAGTCTCCGTCATAAAATAATTGCTCCTGATCTAAATCAAATTTTTTATTAGGTATGTTAATTTAGCTATCAGATATATTTGTACTCTGTCACCACTTAAATGAACATTTGAATAATATTTCGAGTGCAATTCAATCAGACACCCACTGCAGAAAGCCTCATTATTGAAACGGTTGCTCAAGAGATTCTTGCTTGAGTTCTTTTTTGCACACGTGCGATTTGTCGCCTACTGTTTGAAACCAACGCAAATTAATTTATATTTATATTTTGAATCCAGCACAGCGCAGATTTTATTTATCGGCCATAATAATTTAGGTGTACCTATGTCTATACATTCTTACTTTGCCGTTCAAAGCAATAACGCCGAAAGCGAAATGCGAGTTGCCAATCGTGAAACCTGCGATGACATAATGTGCGCAAATATGCACCTATATACATTACAAACATTGCATGCAAAACTTAATTTTAATTTAAATACTAGCATATCTTTTGATTTCATGTTGATTTTTTTAAATTTTATTTTTTATTTTTTATTTTTACGATGAATTATGAGGATTAAATAAGTGATTAAAGTATAGTATTATCATCGTATGTAAAATTGATTTTATTACGGTTAAATAATTAGTAAATAAAATTAATTTATTTGTGAAAATGTATTGCCTGGTGCTCACCTGTGCGTGGTCGAATTTTGTACATGCATTGTTGATAACACACCTGTTGATCGATCGCGCGCAATGAATTGCAATTAAGCGTGTGTTTGAATTTCTGCGCGACAATCTCGTCGATCTCGTGGGCGTCAAAATTGGAGCACACACGGCGCGCGCTCGCACGTCACGTGCGCATTGTGGATTCGCGAATTCGAATTCGGACACAGCGACACGACCGGCACACGCCGCACGCCGAAGCTAAGTACGCGACTACGTACCGAATAAAACAATAATACACATGACTCACTTATATAAATAACGATGGACGACACCGGCAGCACCACATATACACACACACACACACTGCTGCTATTCAGCGCGCACACTTGACAGGACACTGTTTGTGGTTGATTTGTTTTTTTCGTATGACTGACGAGCATTGTTTCGTCCAGTCAAAGATCACATTCAATTTAAGTGTTTGGATGCGCGCAATTCGCTTCAATTCGCATGTAATTCAATTGATTAACGTCGGCGACAATATGCGCATTGATGAATCAAACCGTCAAACACTTTGATTAGAATAGAAATGCACGCGGCAGTTATCATTTTATTGGTGTATTTAATCTAGTGCACCTAATTTTATTGATGCGTCGATGTTAAGTGCAAACCGCACTCGACTAAAAGATGCAGGGCATGTTAAGGGATGTTTTGCGAATGGTTAGACCGCTGTAATTGCGCGTGGGCGTGGGTGGAGTTTGCAAGGGTGCGCGCGAAGAACGTCGCGCGCGGATTGGTGGATGCGCGTCGCGACTCGATTAGGGGGTTTCCCGCTATAATCTGCGGGATATCAAGCGTTAACGCCGACATGATACATCGCCGGGGGATGAAACCGATGTCGATTTATGCACAGATTCGCCAGTTTACGTTTTGTTTTCCTGCCGCTCCCGCGAGGATTCTCGCTAGGATCTTGCTATACGGTCACTTGTAAGCGTCGTCCGACGGGGTTGTGATGAAAACTCGGCAGGCTGCGTTCTGAATATTAAAAAAAGTGTAAAAGTTTATTTTCAATCAAAATTTAACATTTTGGATGTTTAACAACTTGATGGCATCGACCTTAAACTGCGCTGATGACAAAGCGATGAAACTCAGCATGCAGGATAATCACAAATCGTTTTTAATTCGTGATTTGCTCGGTGATGTTTTGAATTCAACAAGAAATCAAGGTACGTTTTTGTTTTATATTAATTTTTGTAATTCATGTTTTATTTATGGATTAAAACCGCTTTTAGTTGTTTTAAAGTATTGCTCTTGCTTAATTAAATCAACATAATGCTTTAGAGACAAATATCTGACACTTGAACACGAGTACGTTCGTTGAATGCAACTTGTGCACGCTCGTACGCGTGCCGTATTGTATTGTGTGCTGCCTAACGTCGTTAACGCCCCGATTGCGTTCAGATGATGGGCGCACGTCTACCCACCAGGTGGCACACTCTACAAGCTGCATTGTGCGGAATAAGATGCGAAGTCAAGTGGTGGATTTGCCGCTGGCATTAATTAAGCTGGCAGTTTCCAACAGATCAAGCATTTTCAACTTTTGCTTCTTCACGTTTTGCCCGTGAACAATAAAGAACATAAGTTACGAACAATAAGTGACTCTTGTTTTCTTATCTTAGCTTTGTTTGGAGCTGTTTAGTGCTTAATTAATTTTCACTGTGGTTTCTTTTTTTTTTACTTAGCAGACGATGCAGAACATGTGAGTGTTGATGCGGACGGTGGCGGGTCCGAGACAGATGGAGAGCGTTTTTACCGAGTTGGCGGCATCGGCGATGACAATGTAGGCGGGCCGGAGGCGGTTGTTGATGCCACGGCGAAGAGTCGCAAGCCTCGTCGCCGTCGGACGGCATTCACCCACGCCCAGCTTGCATTTCTCGAGCGGAAGTTTCGCTGCCAGAAGTATCTCTCCGTCGCGGATCGGAGTGACGTTGCTGATTCGCTTAATTTGTCTGAAACACAAGTGAAAACTTGGTACCAAAATAGAAGGTAGCACATAACCGCAATTATTACTGATATAGGTACTTAGATAAATATGATGATTAACTTTGATGGTCATCTAGAACAAAGTGGAAGCGTCAGAATCAACTGCGACTCGAACAACTGCGTCATCAAGCGTCAGTTGAGAAGGAGTTGATTTCCAGCGGCGGATTGCGTGGTCAGGACGTGCCATCCTGCTGTCCACAGACAGGTCTGCCGAGGTATGGCGCACAAAGTCCTTGCTCGTTTCTCACCTCTGCAGCGGCCGCTATCTTTCATAACGTAACTTACGTACATGGATGTCAAATATAATCAAATTGATTTTTCGTTGATTTTCGTTTTGTACAAATTGCTTCTATAAGCTAAGCTTATTTCGAATGTATTGTGAGGTACTAGGTGAGTAGAACTGTTGTCTTGTTACATTTATGATTATTGTGTATAATAAAATAAAGAAACAATTATTAGCGAATTTTATTCTCGGAATGTGTCAAAGATGTTTTGAATGTGCGCTGAAAATGACGCGCGTCGACATTCAACGCGATATTATCATACAAATTTATTCAAAGTAGCAAACGGCCAAAGTTCAACAAGTTCACAACAACACTGAGTTTCATTCTTTCGTATATGAATACGAAATGGGGCGCAAATGGTATTTGAATACAAAATGTACAAGTTGCAAGTTTAAAAACATATTTTTTTGAAATCGATAGCAAAGCTGGTGAAAATCACAATGAAGTGGAAATTCTAATTTAACACTTAATATTTAAGTTATCCTAGCAAATCATCTGTAAAATAACAATCAACATGTTGATTATGCAGTGATTGAGGCAAATTGACAAGAGCGTTTATTAAGTCCACACAATCGGACTTTAGAATAATGATAATCGCCCTACTCAGAGCAAAATGTTCCCCCAATGAATCGAATTTCGTGTGCGTAGATTTACCCTACTAAAAACACCACAACATTCGCGATATAAATTGGACCATTCTATTGAAGCAAAATCACCCCTCTTATTAGCACATAATCCGCATAATCTTAATTTCTATATAACAAGCACATTTGTTACCATTTGCGGGCAATCCCTCTCAATTTGAATTGAAGCGATGTTTATTAAACACGCCAAGGCGTAACTGTTATTTAAACCGGCGAGTGTACACGTGTGCGTACGTGCAATTGAATTGAGCTTAATTAAAAACCGGCGCGAGATCGCTTAATGAGATATTTAATTAGTGCAGTTTGTAGCGCTAGCCACGAACAAAAGTGCGCGTTTGCCCGCCCGATGCTCGACTAGGTGCGTTTTTTATTTTCTCTTGCCACGTTCGCAATTGAATGCAAAATATGAATGTTTTAAGATACAGGGGTGCACGCTTAGATTCGGTTTCACGGGATCATCATTAAAAATACAAGAGGCGCCAACGGTTTGCATTTTTATCCAGGTATAGATGTATAATAGACACCTGATACTTGAAAAAAATTTCACAGTTTTTAAAATGCATAAAACACCCAAGCGCACTCACAATGACATTGTAATTAAATTTATTGATAAATTTTATTATTTCCTGCATCGAAGTATTGCAAAAGAGATTCGAGTGTTCGATCGGACAATTGCGGCGAATTCAAGTCGAGTGAGCGCCGCACGAGTCCGTTATAATAAGGAGCAGCCCCAATACGTTTCTAGTTTTTAAGGACCATTATACATCGACAACTGCTATACAAAAACGCACCATGCATGTTTGGTGGGCAAGAGCGCCAAGCATCATCATACAGCGATCGAAAGAGAGGCTGGACCCCCGCAGGCTGTTACGGCCGGCACAAACGACTGCTTCCTGTTTAAAGTGAATTGCAGGTTCGAGATTGTGATGGGTTTCGTGAATGCTGTTTGATTCCTTCAATGGTGCAATTGGCTTTGTTACAATCGTTGCGGATCTGCTTGGTTAGTTACGAATGTGGTTTCGATTCAATAATGCAAAGAATAGTGAGTGTTCATCAATAAAATTATATCGTGGGTAATGGAGATATTATTCATAATTGCATGGGTTTAATATTAATAATAGATGTAGGCGTTGTTAACTATTGTTCCGCATTGGCAAGATAGCGCATAGATAACGCTAATCATATTCAAACAGTGAAAATGTAGGAACCAATCATTTTACATAGCAGAGTTTATTGCAACCCATAAAAATGAATCGCAAAATGTGTTGGTAAGCGCATAACTCAACAACGCCTAGACCAATTTGGCTAATTATTTTTTTTAAATGTTTGTTGAAGTCCAAGGATGGTTTTTACCGCGAGAAAAATTCATCATAGTTATCATAGTTATCGTTAAATAGTTGAATTTTTTATATTATTAATTTCTTTAAAATAAAATTGCGAATCTTATTGATAGAATTGACACATACTATGTCTAAAACAAGAGAATAAAAACGAATTACATTTTTATTAAACACTACCGAGACGAAGTCGCGAGAAAAACATAGTCTAAAAATAGAAATAGGAAATATATATTTATTTATCATTAATAGGTTTAATATTTAATATTTTGCTTCATTATATAAAAATATGCAGATATTGAAGTTTTCCTTATTTCCATCTGAACGTCTCAATAGCGACGTAATGGAGGTTAAATTACGTAAATTTAGTGCGATGGCACAACTTCAGCGAGGGGGTGTGCCGTTGCATCCCGTGGTACTTGAGAGTGCTGGCGATAATTGGATGCGATTCGCGGTGAGCTCGTTCGTATTCATTACGATTTTCCGTTTCGATTACAGTAATTTAGTGGTGAGCGTATAAAGCGAAGCTGTAGGTACTGGAGGCCTGCGCATTATTAAAAATCTATTCACTCAGCCTACATATTCAACATTCAAAACAAACATCACCAGTGCTTCGTTTAATTTTCTTTTCGAAACTGTTATAGAATAATATCAGACGAAATGCGCATCGGATTTATGACACGTGGATTTTAATATACGAGTATAGTAGTGGCATCTATAAATGCAAATGTTTGTTAATTGTCAGACAAATTAGTTATGAACAAGTCAACACTCTGGCACCAAAGGCGTTTCGCATAAAGCTGGTTATGTAGAAAATCACGAAGCCACCCTCCCAATCAAGAACCATTATTCGTTCCGTCTCCCGCTGACTGTAAACACAGCAGAAATCCTCGAAACGCTTGAGCGTACAGAATACTCAAATGATATGTTAATTGTCGCATAACTAGAGGGTAAACTTCTGAGCGCGTTCGCACAGTTAGATAGACCGGATGGGAATAACAGGGGGTTGCACCCGGGAGCGCTGTTGTATTAGGCGAAGAAGATTGGTGGATACGCCGCAATCCGGGGCTTGTTAACGTTCAGAAATGGCACGTTTTGCGCGTGTGGCGGCGCATAATCCAAAACGCCAAGCATCGAGCACAGCGGCGGCGACGCATTAAATGTCATGAATAATGAATAAGTGATGTATACCGCTTGCGGCACAAATGTAATTGGACATTTGCCATTTCGAGACGGATCGTTGATAAAAGGATAAAAGGTGTTTGCGAGCGCAATTCTAAAGAGGCTAATTTCAAGTCCTAGTTGTTTGCCAATCAGCGGGCATTTCATGTGACGCCGACCGGAAATATCCACAGTTTATATAATTACACATCAATTACATTCATATACAAATAAAATAAATACTAAAATTAACTAAATTCAACAATAACTGATTACGTTATTGATGGCAACGTTTACCAAGTTGCGTTTCGACGCTTTCAAGTGTTGGTCGCAATGTGGGCTCCAAACTCCAACAGGACTGATACAATTGACTAAAATCATCTTGAATCTCATCTCGAGACTCGGCACGTGGTCGCAGGCCATATTTAACAACCTATTCATGTGTGTGCATTTCATTAGTATTTATATATTATACTTATGTTTGGCTACACTCACATTATAGATAATTGTGTCTCGATTTTCTAAACTTTTGAACGGATTTTCGCGATACCGCAATTGCCACATGAGGATTCCTAAGGAATATGTATCACTGGATTGATTTGCTTCTTTTCCAATAAGAATTTCAGGTGCGGTATATTGAACAGTATTACCCTTAAATCACAAATTAGATTTTTTTAATTTTTTGGTATGCTATTCATCTTACCTCAAATATATGGTTGCTTTGTACATCGTTTGGATTAAAATTAAACCGTGAACTACCAAAATCACAAATTTTGCAAATGCCCTTTGTGACCAGCACATTACCAGGCTTCAAATCCAAATGTAGTAAATTTTGTGCGTGGATATACTTCAGACCAGCTGTGATATCCAAAGTGCACTTAACGATGTCACTAAACTTAAGCTGGATCTTTTCGTTGTCTATGATTGATTGAAGTACCTGCGAATCTGGGAGGTATTCCATAACGATGATTGAATGTTGCTCGTTTCTGACGATCACATCGATTGTTTTCACTATATTTACATGATCTAACATTAGAGCGTTTTTTTCGTTCGTGATCATCTTTGTTTTGACTACTTTCACTGCAACATCTTTGCCTGATGGATATTTTTAGTTGGATTTATATAAATATTTTTATTTATTTTTTGTTATTTACCTGCGTATGTACCTCTTACAACAACTCCAAATGTTCCTCTTCCTAGGATGTTTAATTCTCCAAGACAATTTAAGCCACTTTTTAAGATTTCGTTTTTATTCGGTGTGTTGACATTCAGAACATGTTTAGCTTTCTTTATAGGTGATTCGGTTATACCGTTTATAGTTAAGCTAGGTGTTGAGGTATTTTTGGGGACCGATGGGAGTATTCTAACTTCTTTCTGGCTCTAATTTTAAATACGTTTTAATTTAATTGATTGTGTTGAGAAGTTAGAAGAGAACTTACTTTGGTGTGGGGTTTGTTTTCTTTCTTGTAGACACAAATGGTGATTTCGAAAGTGATAGAGTATTACGAGATAAGATTGCCATTGGAGATATTTGCGGGCTCAGCCTAGTCCTTCCTCTTGAAGTAGGAGTGATTAGAAGTCGCATGGAATTAAGTGGCGTTCCCATTTGTATTGTTTCTCTTGGAATACACGTTATAGGTTTGTCTATTCACAACAGTGTTTTCAGGTGTCACGAAAGTGTCACGGTGATCAAAACAGATAAATTCAAATGTGAATATGCTACAGAAAAGAGTTCTATTTTTAACAAATCTCCATGAAACACTTATTTTGATGTAAGAGACAATTTTTGGTTTAAAATAGCAATAATACGGCAATTATATCATTGCGCAAGTTACGTGAGTGTAAATTACAATGATTTAATGATTTTTGGGACATTTGGCAAACAAAATTACGACGTATCAGAATGAGATCATTATTAAAATTATGCAATTAACTAAATTGAATTAGATCCAACGCATAAAGGAATTCAAAAAACATATTGAAGCGATCGTTATAGATTTCTAGGTTTGTTGAGAATAAAATGTTTAGGAAACTACTTGCTAGAGGGCAGCATTTATGCTCTGTATATTTAATAGAGGCTACTATGTTGGCACTCTTTGGTTCACCTTTTAATCGTGTGTCGTCGCTAGTATGTCGACTATTTATGTGTTCGATTCATTCTAACTATTATCTACGTTAATATAGTTTGCTTGTCCTCGTATACTAGAACTGTTTTTGCTGTCTTCTCGGCGCTTTTATCTACGTTAGTGCCAAACTCGTTTTCTCCGTGGGGAACTTCGCACGTCTAACTACATGCGTCTGCCTCGGAGCCATGCCATGCAGTGGCTAATCGCGGCTTGCGATTTTTTCGTGAGTATTAAATTCGATTTATTGCCATATTTTTCGTTGACTATCGCTCGGTGTTTTGCTGATATAGTCCTATTCTGTGTCAATTGCAAGTAGACTTGATTTCTTTGTATAGTTCTATGTAAATTGTAATTATATTTTTTTATTGTAGATTTAATAAATATTTAACCAAAAATAACGCTAAATAACACTAAACAAGTTTTCTAGTTGCATTTCTTGAGTTGGCCAGCCTGCATGCGACCTTGTTTATTGCGAATAGTGCGCGTTTTATTGCGGCGTGCACGCAGCATTATCGCGTGTTTTGTGCGCAGTTGCTGATTGCGCTGCGCCGCTGCGTGCTGTTCTCAGTGCAGGTTTGTACGGGTCGTTGGTTGAATCAGGCGTGTTTCTCGCGACCGTTATCATTTTATTTTGAATTTATAATTCGGTAAATCGCGTTCATTTTGATTGTTCAACAACTGCATTTAGTCATTATTGTCGTGCTTAGTGTTATATTAGTAAATAATCGGGTGTCGAATATACAAAATCATCGTTAATTTTCTTTGCGTTTGTTGTGCGTAATGCAAGATGGCCGCGTGCAATCAACTTGTTTACACTTCACGCCCGCGATACAGGTAGTGTGCAACATCTTGCAACGTTTGTTGTGATATTATGTTGACAATGGATTGGAACTCGGGCTACGTTCTGGGAAGAAGCTGAGAAAGAAAGGTAAAGTGCAGACTTTCTTTATTTTAATTAACCTGTTCGTGCTTGCTTACGCCTGGTTGGCGCACCGTCTTTGCGTATCTCTTGCTTTCTTATCATAAAGTGTTGCTTCTTGCTTGGCTACGACATGCACTATCCGTGGACTGTAGCGAGTTTTGTGCCGGTCTTTAGTTGATCCAGACGTTTGCGACAATTCAGTTCAATTTTTCGTTTTATTTTCTTTGTAGAATATTAGTTTGTATTCACGTAGGTTGTTTTTATCGCATTTCATCGCGTGTTGCAAAGACACAAAGTATTCGCGTGCTTTGTTGATACATCTCAGATTTAACTCTTTAGTCTTTTATTTGCTTACAAAAGCGCAAGTGTTGTACTCTCGTTTTTTAATTGCATTTATTTCGGATATTAGGAGAGATAGATGGGAACGGATTGAAAATTCTTAATCTAGGGGAAATTCTCTCTATAAGGTATTCAAATTTGGAAAAATAAGACAGGTCGAAAATAATTTATAAGCAATAAATGCTAAGGATAATTCGTTTTCTTCCCATTGAAAGGTTTATGAAAGTTTAGAAAAATTTGTTTTTATTTTAAGTTTCATATTATAAATTGGGAGAGTACTGCATCAGTTACAGATGGGGCTAGCATGAACTAAAAATTGCGAAATAGATTTATATTGTTTTTCTGCGTTCGTGTATCGCATGCAGCGTATTCTTGTTTAGTTTTGATCACATGTACTTGCCTATTGCAATTCGCGCCCAAGGTTGCGAGCCGTCGTCGCGTGCCATCGGCGCGCCGGTTTTGGGGTACGGTCTTATCATAACGTGCCGCGTCGTTGCTTGCTCGGCATTCAGACGCACTGGTATTTCGCGCGAGTCGTCTCGTTTGTTCGGAGTGCTACTTAATACAATAATTAACATAATATATAACGAATTCTGTTAGCGTAAGAGGCGTTCTTAAAGATGTAATTCTGTCCAAAAGCCGCAAAATTTTGCCCTTTTCGCGTTTTTCGAAACTTGCCGTGGAAAATTGGTCATATCTCGCGATCCCTTGACGATTTTTTAGTTATTTCTGTATTTTATGATCGTGCAAGAGTTCATATTTAAGATGCACTCCTGAACTCCCGCGAAATTCGGTTGTAACTGCCTCAAAATGACCGTTAACGTTTGCCATTTTTTGCTTTTTCGAAACTTGCCGTGGAAAATCGTTCATATCTCACGATCCCTTGGTTATTTTTTAGTTTTTCTTTATTTTATGATAGTGCAAGAGTTCAATTTAAAATTTAGCCCTGAACTCCCGCGAAATTCGGTTGTAACTGCCTCAAAATAGCCGCTAAAATTTGTCTTTTTTTGCATTTTTCGAAACTTGCCGTGGAAAATTGGTCATATCTCGCGATCCCTTGGTGATTTTTTAGTTATTTCTGTATTTTAAGAAAAGGTTGATTTTTCAGCCTTATTCGTATAATGTTTATATTTTTTCGGGCTTGCACGCGATACTGGCGTGACTGAAAATTCAGCGCAGCGTCTGAAGATGCAAAATTAAATTCTCAGTCGGGTGGTATTTGTTTGTTGCAGGAATTCGACCTGCAACCCGCGAAAATTTGCATAAAAGGTTGATTTTTTCAGCCTTACTCGTGTTCTCGTAATGTTTGTAGTTTTTGGGTTTGCACGCGACCGTGCGGCTCAATAACTTCATCGCGGCGTTTAGAGATGCGGAGTTAAATTCTCCGTCGGGTTCTATTTATTTGTTGCTGGAATTCAACCTGCAACCTGCGAAAGTTTGCATAAAAGGGTGATTTTTTCAGCCTTTTTTATGTAATATTTGTATTTTATTGGGTTTGCACGCGATCCTGACGGTTCAGTATATTCAGCGCAGCATCTAAAGATGCGGAATTAAATTCTCCGTCGAGCGGTAATTGTTTGTTGCAGGAATTCGACCTGCAACCCGCGAAATTTTGCATAAAAGGGTGATTTTTTCAGCCTTTTTCGTTAAATGTTTGTATTTTTTCGGGTTTGTACGCGATCCTGGCAGTTTAGTAAATTCAGCCCAGCGTCTAGAGATGCGGAATTTAATTATCCTGCGGGTTGTATATATTTGATGCAGAAATTCGACCTGCAACCCGCGAAAATTTGCATATAAGTGTGATTTTTTCAGCATTATTCGTGTAATGTTTGTATTTTTTCGGGTTTGTACGCGATCCTGGCAGTTCCGTAAATTCAGAATTGCATCTAAAGATGCGGAATTAAATTCTCCGTCGAGTGGTATTTGTTTGTTGCAGAAATTCTACCTGAAACCCGCGAAAATTTGCATAAAAGTGTGATTTTTTCAGCTTTATTCGTGTAATGTTTGTATTTGTTCGGTTTTGCACGCGATCCCGGCGGTTTAGTAAATTAAGCGTAAAACCTAAATATGCGGAATTAAATTCTTCGTCGAGTGGGATTTGTCTGATGCAGGAATTCTACCTGCAACCCGCAAAATTTACATAAAAGGGTGATGTTTTCAGCCTTATTCGTGTAATGTTTGTATTTTTCGGGTTTGCACGCGTTCCTGGCAGTTCCGTAAATTCAGAGTTGCACCTAAAGATGCGGAATTAAATTCTCCGTCGAGTGGTATTTGTTTGTTGCAGAAATTCTACCTGCAACCCGCGAAAATTTGCATAAAAGTGTGATTTTTTCAGCCTTATTCGTGTAATGTTTGTATTTTTTCGGGTTTGCACTCGATCCTGACGGTTTGGTAAATTAAGCGTAGCACTTAAAGATGCGGAATTAAATTCTCCGACGAGTGGTATTTGTTTGTTGCAGGAATATGATCTGCAACCCGCGAAAATTTGCATAAAACGGTGATTTTGTTAGCTTTTTTCGTCTAATGTTTGTACAAGTGACCCGATTCCGGGCACCCTACCATACGAGGCAAGCGGTATTAGTGAATCGTGTTCAGGGCACCTTACGTGGCTAGCGGAAGATGTGACTCGATTCAGGGCACCTTACGAGACTAGCGGTAGAAGTGACTCGTGTTCAAGGCACCTTACGAGGCTATCGATAAAAGTGACTCGTGTTCAGGGCACCTTACGAGGCTAGCGGTAGAAGTCACTCGTGTTCAGGGCAGCTTACGAGGCTAACCGTGGAAGTGACTCGTGTTCAGGGCACTGTATGCACCCGACGATAATTTGCATAAAAGGGTAATTTATCGATATTCCCCCTTTTGTCGTAAAATGTTTGAATTTTTTCGGAGTTGCACGCGATCTAAGCTGTTCAGTAACTACAGCGCAGCTTCTAAAGATGCGGAATTAATTTCTCCGTCGGTTTGTATTTGTTTACTACAGGATTTTCGGCATGCAACCCGTTACACGATCTTTGCATCTTCATTTTTGTTTGCAGGTAACGTGTCGAATGCAATTCGCGCTCAAGGTCTCGGGAATGATTTATGATATTTCAATTAATATGATTGCACCTTTACCTTTAAAATTTAGCTTTTAACCAGGTCAGGTTTTATAAAGATTCCATTATTATATATCTAGCAGTATGCAGACCAGTGTTTGTGTCAGTTATTTTTGGTTGTAACAAGAATTGTCATATTTTTATCGTTTGTTTATTATAATAAACATAATTTATTTGCATATAATTCGTATTGGGGCACGTGGTATTACGGTTTCAATAGGTGTATATGACAATACTTATCGTATTTCTTTGATTTTGTATATTATAATACATTTAGTACCGTCGCAAGTGGCCATATAGTCTCAATATGCAATTTGACAATACCTATGGAATATCCTTAATTTTACTTTAATTTAAAGCAAGTGATTTTTGCGGTTGGTTTGAAACTTTTTATTGCGACTGAGTTGGCCTTCCTACATGCGACCTTGTTCGTTGCAAATAGTGCGCGTTTTATTGCGGCGTGCGCGCAGGATTATCGCGTATTGTTATTCGTCGTTTCAGATTATGTATGTTCTTCGACTACATTTAACCATTACTAACGTGTTTAGTGTTTTATTACAAAATCGTTAATTTTCTTTGCGTTCATTGTGCGAATTGCAAGATGGCCGCGTGCTATCAACTTTGTTTACACTGCACGTTCGCGAGATACAGGTAGCATGCAACGTCTTGTAACATTGTGATATTATTTGGACAAAGGATTGAAACATGGACAACGTTCTGCGTGGAAGCCGAGAAAGAACGGTAAAGGGCAGACTTTCTTTAATTTAATTAACCTATTCGCGTTGCATTGCATTGTTGCATTGGTCTACAATTCACACGCGTGAGTCTTTGCTTAGGTCGAGTTGGAACGATATCTTGTTATTATTGTGAACATGTTTATCTGACCGTTTTAGTATTACTGTATTTAAATGTGATTTAATTTTAGTTTTTGGTGAATACTGCGCCAAGTATTTGCCCGAGGATAATCGGTTGGCTACCAGCAGTCTTGTCTATTATTAAAAAAGTAATCAAGAGTTTACATTGTATTGTACATTTTATCGCCTCACGACTGCTATTGAAATTTTGCAGAGTTGTCTCTGATTTGTATAGTTGCTTGTCGTGCTAATGGGACGAGTTTTATTTGATGGCTGTAATGCGGATAAGGGTATTTGGTAGTTGCCGCACTGTTGTTGTCTATCTTTAACTCGCGAAGGGGTCGTCTCTAGAGTTGTCAAATTAAATTCTCCGTGGGGTGGTATTAGTTCATTGCAGGTGTTGCGTCGGCAACATGTGTAAATTCGAAAATTGGGTGGTACAGTGGGATTTTTCATGAAGGGTGAAATTGTTTGAGTTTATTTCGGTATAGCTTGCGAGGAAGGCGACTTAGAAATTTCCGCATGCAACATCTCTAAAGTCGAAAATTGGGTGGTTAAGTGGGATTTTCACAGGTGGGGGGAAATTGTTTGTGTTTTGGGGTATAGCTTACAAAGAAACCGGCCTAGAATTTTCAACGTCTTGTCTGTTAGAGAAGTTTCAACAACAGTGCGCGTAATCCTAGATTTGTGTGAACTCCTTTTATTGTGTATATGAGTTTGCTGTATTGTCATATGTATTAATGTGTGCATACATGTTTGTTGTACTGTCCACGTAGAATTCGTTTTTATATGTAAATGTTTTGTATTGAATTGTAGTTGTTTGTGTTTTAATGTTTGCTTGCACCTTGTGTTGTGTGTTTTAATTAATATAAATAAACAACGTTGCCTGCCTGTTGAAGAAGTTTAGGAGCACTTGTGCCAAGGAGTCTACCGCTTCCGTCGCAGAAATGTTTGAGATGCGCGTATTACAAGGCAAGTTTTACTTTCAGGAGATTTAAGAGCTGTCTATGACTTTCGATTTTAAATAAATGTATGTAGTTTTTAATGTTGCTAATAAAACATAATGTAAAATTATATACTTCTTCATATTTCTTTCTGGTTTCCCCTTTGCCGTTTGCAGGATTGATGACTTAAATCATTATTATTCCATATAAATCTTAAGTGCGTCGATCGTGTACAATATATAGCTGTTGTTTGTGTTATTATTTGTTTTTAAAAAGTTGAATAAAGTAGAATCATAAATAGAAGAATCAAATAACAATGATAAAATCACTCGGTGGTCGAGTGGATACGTGCATCTGCTCGCATGCTGGTAGACACGGATCGAATCTCAGGTATGGAAGGCATTTTTCTCAAATATAAAAATAACAGGTGTTATTTGGGTTGCTTATATGAATTGCAACGAAATATAAGAGAAGTTGCAATACAAGTGAAGGCAATAAGAAAGTAAGTGGAGAAACGGAGAACAGAGAAATAGGAGAAGTAGAAGGAAGAGAACAGAGAGAAGACAGAACAGAGTAGAAGACAGAAGGAAGAGAAAAGAGGAGAGGAGAGAATAGAAGGAAGAGAACAGAGGAGTAGTTGATCAGATTTTTAAATTTTTTAGCCACGTGTCGTTATAAGACAGTCGTCCACTGCTTCGATGCGTCCATTGCTCCCGGCCCATCCTACAGCTACGATGTCTCTGCGCTTCATCCCCGGAATTATCAGGCATATCAACAATTTTTATGGTGGGGGATCACCCCCGGAGAGAGGGAACTCCTGATAAGGACAATCCTTATAAGGTCTTCATCAAATATTTCTAAGTTCTAAGTCGTCTCAAGAGAGCCGACACTTAAAAATATTCTTACAATTCTGACCTGTAGCTGAAATGAAAGATGGAGTACACAAATCATACCGGTTACTTTAACAATTTCTATAGAGGGGATCATCCCCTGAGAGAGGGAACTCTTCCTAAAATGATAGAAGGGGTACACAAGTCAAAGAAGTCAATATATCTTACTATTTCTTTATTAATAATAGAATACAAGTTTAGACTTTACAAGTCAACAGAATACATGTCGCCATATTGAAACAGGACTTACGAGCTGCATCGCCACGCACATATAAGCAAGTACCACGTAATAATGTTCTACCGGGATACAGAAATTAGCAAATAGCTCATTTTCCATGTGATTAAAAATGGAAACAAATATACAAAGTGTTACAAATCAAAAATTTAATGTGAAAACAGAAAAACATTTTAACACTACAAATATCATTCGTTTTTCACCAGAGGCTCCGGGAAACTAATATACAGGGTGTCACAAAAAGAAAATTCAAAGGGCAATGATAATAACTTTAAAAACAACAGTTAAAGCAAAATTTTCACGGATACAAAGAAAAATGAATATACAGGGTGTTTCAGAAAGAAAATCTGTAGTTGAAACAAAGAACACTCAAAACACTCGAATACCGGCGATTATCTACGTAGTGTTAGGAAAACTAACAAAAGAAAACCAAAAAAACGCCAAGATCGCGTGCAAACCCGAAAAAAGACAAATATTTCACGATAACGGGTGAAGAAATTACCTTCTTATGCAAATTTTCGCAGGTTGCAAATCGAATTCCTGCAACAAACATATACCACCCGACGGAGAATTTAATTTCGCATCTCTAGGCGTCGCGCTAAATTTTCAGAGCCTCCAAAATCGCGTGCAAACTTGAAAAAATACAAATATTTCACGAAAAAGGGTAAAAATATCACATTTTTATGCAAATTTTCGCGGATTGCAGGTCGAATTCCTGCAACAAACAAATACAACCCGACAGAGAATTTAATTCCGCATCTTTTGACGCCACGCTGAAATTATGGAGCCGCCTAGATCGTGAGCAGAGCCGAAAAATACAAATATTTCACGAAAAGTGTGAAAATAGCACCCTTTTATACAAATGTTTGCGGGTTGCAGATCGAATTCCTGCAAAATACAAATACAACCCGACATAGAATTTAATTCCGCCGCATCTTTTGACGCCACGCTGAAATTATCGAGCCACCTAGATTGGGAGCAAAGCCAAAAAAACACAAATATTTCACGAAAAACGGTGAAAATATCACCTTTTATGCAAATTTTGGCGGGTTGCAGATCAAATTCTTGCAAAAAACAAATACACCCTGATAGAGAATTTAATTCCGCATCTTTTGACGTCGCACTGAAGTTATTGAGCCGCCTAGATCGCGAGCAAAGCCGAAAAAAACACAAAATTTCACGAAAAGGGTGAAAATATCACCCTTTTACGAAATTTTTGCGGATTGCAAGTCAAATTCCTGCAACAAACAAATACAACCCGTTAAAGAATTTAATTCCGCATCTATTGACGCCACGCTGAAGTTATGGAGCAGCCTAGATCGCTAGCAAAGTCGAAAAACACAAACATTTCACGACAAAGAATGAAAAATCACCCTTTTATGAAAATTGTCGTGGGTTGCAAATGGAATTCTGCAGCATACAAATACAGCCCGACAGAGAATTTAATTCCGCATCTTTTGACGCCGCGTAGAAGTTATTGAGCCGCCTAGATCGCTAGCAAAGTCGAAAAACACAAACATTTCACGACAAAGAGTGAAAAATCACCCTTTTATGGAAATTGTCGTGTGTTACAAGTCGAATTCCTGCAACAAACAAATACACCCCAATAGAGAATTTAATTCCGCATCTTTTGACGTCGCACTAAAATTATTGAGCAGCCTAGATCGCGAGCAAAACCAAAAGAACACCAATATTTCACAAAAAAAGGTAAAAATATCACCCTTTTATGCAAATTTTCCCGGATTGCAGGGCGAATTCCTGCAACAAACAAATACAACCCGACAGAGAATTTAATTCCGCATCTTTGGACGCCACTTAAACTACATAAATACCAACTAATGTTCGACGCAACAATTAAAACAAAAACTATAATTGAATCACAAACTTACCAACTTACCAATGCAGAACTCCCCGGACTCCAAGTCACGGCAAATACTGTAAGTAAAAAATGAAAACATAAGTTAAACCAAAAATATTTCATATGATTTTGTAATATTATATTCACACAGCGGAGAAAAACAAACAATCTAAGGTGCTCAGTTAAAAGTTACTTACAGCAGAACGATGGGTCATCCTAATGAGAAATAAATTAACATGGTGGCGATATGTATCCGATTCACACTTTAAGCGCGATTAAAAACTGGCCGGATAATAAACGCGTAAATAACAAATAACATTACTATAGTCGCAAAATTAAATACATAGTCGATTGATGATCAAATATAATGCAAATTTAGAAAGCAGAAGTCCGAACAAATGACACGAGTCGCGAGAAATACGTGTGGATCAACCAGAGACCGGCACGAAACTGTCTGCGGATACTGCATGCCGTAGCCGAACAAGTAACGACGCTACAGTTTATGATAAGAAAGCAAGAGGTGCGCAAAGCCGGTGCGTCGACGGCCTGCAACCTTGTGCGCGAATTGTGTTTGGCACGGTACGAGTACCTGCGATCAAAACTAAACTATGATGCGGCAACATGCGGCGTGAGAAGATAGCAACGACACACGAGAATGCGATAAGAAAGTGTAAGTTGTGTTCAAAACAAACACAATTCACGTGTCGAATGCCCACGTTTGTTGATAAATATAGACATAAACAATACAATTCAATTTTATGAATTTTAGTTCATACTGGTGCCATTTCTGCACGCGGAATTTAAATTATTTAAATTAATGAAAGATTTTACTTTAACTATTAAAGCGGTGTTTTGGACTAGTTAGTTGGAGAGTAGTTAAATTGAAAATATAAAATTAAAAAATAATTCATAAGAAAAATAGGCAAAGGTGGTGTTGCATCATCTTATTTTGAAGATTTTCCGTAGTGCGTATCTTTTAAACTAAAAGCGGTAGCAACCGGCAGATTGAACATTATGAAAGTTTGGAAAATTTTCTATACGATAAGATCAAAAAATTAAAATTCGGGGTGTAAAGATTCTGAAAACCTATTTAAAAGTACTAAAAAGAACGCTTTTTTTATGAGGTTTTTCGTTCGCGAATATCTCGTAAAAGAATAACTGCTGCCTAAATGCGCCTAAAGCCGCCTTGCGCACAAATTGCAATAGGCACGAAACCGGCGATTTAAACTAAACTAGAACACAAGCATAGCGAGACGTGAGAAGTATTCGCAAAGCAATAAAAAAAGCGTAAATTGTGTTCAAAACAAACACAATTCTAATGCCCACGTTTGCTGATAAATGTAGAAGTAAACAATACAAGTCTACTTTACGATTTTTATTTCATGCTAGTGCCATTATGAATGATACAAGTAGCAGTCCCATAATTAACATTAAGTATTGAAATTAATGATAAATTAAAATTCGATTTATGTAATTCAAAATTATGATGCTGAAGGTTAGCCCGATTTTACATCAAGTATATAAGTGATGTAATAATTTTACAAAGATAAGAAGAACGAAAACTGCAAATTTCCATTCTTACTTTCCCTGCAGAAATATCTTTGTCATTTGATAACATTGCAGAAAAACATTGAAACGTAGAACTAAACTAAAATCTATATACACGGAAAACTCTTTCTATAAATAATAAAATTATTTGACTTACCAGTTATGTAAGACGGCAAATCGAAGAGCTGTTGGTATAAACTGAAATAAATGAGAAAGAAAACATTAGTAACAGCATTTCGTGCCATATTGAAATGAATCTGAGTTCCGTCGGAATCCAGTTTTTAAATTAAAATTCCGTTTATTCGCATAATAATGATAGAGATCACAATATTTACCAGGAAGCACATTAGTCCAAAAATCAGCTGTTGATGATAAAATTGTTTTTCACAAGTCAATTAATTATTGGCTATCACAAAACATGGCCGGTCGTCGCCCGACGGCAACGGACTCACAAACACGTGAATAAACTAAACACGTTAAATTTAGAATTACGAAGATTACACACGCGAGAAATAGCTGATAATAGATGAAACACGTTTATTAACACTAACTATCACCGGCGATCAGGAAATACAACGCGATTTACCGAACTAATATCAAAGAGTAACACAAGCCGAAAGTATGGAATGTGTGCTCGTCGTTATCGCACCGATGCAACAAAACAAAATTCACTCGCTGAAATATTTCTAGTTAAACCTGCATTGTCACGCCATCTGAGGGCATTTTCTAGTACCTCCTAAAAGTACAAAGTGTTTCAAACAGTGTCGCGCGCATGTGTAGCAGTGTTGAATTGTCTATGTCAGTGCGGTGTCACGCATTTAGATGGTAGCGTCCGTGTGACACGCACGGGAAAGTGTGCGTGCACTACCCTGTCTAAATGAGTAGCGGTTTTATACAGAAATGCAATAAGTAAATCTATGTTTTACAAGTATGATTCCAATAATAAATCATAAATCGTATTGTATAAGCGTTTCTCTTATAACAATTAAATACATCCTGATAGAGAATTAAATTTTGCATCTTTAGGCCCTGCGCTCAGGTTAGTACGACGTTTGCATTAACCGCCCCCACGTGTCTCAACGACAACACTCGGGAATCTCACGCGTTGCATTCCACGATAAATATAGACATAAACAATACAACGCTATTTTACGATTTTCAGTTCATGCTAGTGCCATCTCTGAATGATGCAGATGGAAGTCCCGGAATTTATAGTATTAAAATTAATGTAAGATTGCGCGATTTTACATCAACTATTAAATTGGTGTTGTGGAATTTGTATTAATCGCAAAATGTGTGCTGGAAATACGTTTTCCAAGCCTACACAGAGAAGCAATAATCAACAAAAAAACTAATTACTTAATTGAATTTCAACATTTTGGAGTTTACTCCTATAGAATCGATTTTCATATGTAAACCCGTGGTAAAAAAAATCTATATATTATAGTCCATATGTGTATATTGGTATATACTCGTACATTATTTATTATTTATGTTTCCATGGCCATGTAATGTATTTTGATGAATTAATTAATATAAAAAAAATGTATCATGTATGCATTGAGCAATATAGATAATAGGTGCTATCATTAACCATACATTACTAATCTACGAATATGAGTATGATACAATCATTCGAAAGGAGTACACGCCATTCATGTGTCGTAGCTGACACACGCACCCACACACTTTTTTTCTACTAAATTGTCTCATAATTATACAAAAAAATCTTGAAAATCTAGCCTATTTGGTACAATCAATGGATTTTAATGATGGTGCAAGATTCTTGATTAAAAGTAAAACCTAAAAAGCAAATACTTTGTATAGGAAAATTAACAACGAAAGTTGCAATTTTCGATCAAATCCTCCGCATGAGGTGGTTTGAATGTAGGTGGTATCTCACCTAGAGTTATCTGACATGGAAACAAAAAACAGCATTAGAATAATGTAGAATATTATACTACATAGCCCATTCACGCTTGGAAAATTGAACATACATGTACGTTTCGTGAACCTAAAGTGTACTTATATTATTCACTTTATAATTATACGTAGGTACACTATAAAACCCGATTTCCACCGATTACCATTGATTTGACAAACACTTGATTTGCGATTTGGTTTTAAAAGAGTATTGTTTAACAATGATAACATATGAGGGTATAGCGTTTATTTTGCCTATTACTTTTATTGCCTATTATGTAGGATATGACTATAACTGAATTTATTACCCTGTATGTATTAATTGATAAACAATTTTACCAAATTGATATATCATTATTGACAACATTAGCGAAGCGCTTATACCAACGCATAAAATATTAAAACTTCAATTATTAGTATCATTAACATACCAGAACCAAATTCATATAAAGATAAGGAATTAGAAATTGACTGACTGTTGCCCGCGACCTCGCCCGCGCAGATCTTAATAAAAGCTCCTTAACAAAAGCTGATTTGTCGTGACTCAAAAAATAAGAGAAAAAGATAAGATGTAAGTGATAATAGTGCTATAATATAATTCACAAAGTGAATTATATAAGTGTAGAAACTTTTTGGTCCGCGATCTTTCCTTATCAATATAAATTCTTTTATCAATCGGAATAAGTATTGAAATTTTTTAATAAAAGTAACTTATGCGTAGAAAGCATAACAAATAAACAAATAAATAAACTGGCTTTGCATTTATAATTATATAAGGATTACAATACTAATAAAGGCATATATCATGATTTATTTATCATTTTTTTATAGATGTTATGTTCGCATCTGTTGATCTGCTAATCATATTGAAAGAGCTCATAAAGTGTTGAATTGTAAATTTAGTATGTTCTACTTAAAAGAATGCAACAAACTACAACAATAAACACTTTATTAAAAAGCGCAGACACGTTTCCAAAATTCTATGGATATGGTAAGAGTGCCATCAGAAATGTATTGGGCGAAGCGTTGTATTTGTTTGGTGCATTAACATTTTATTATGGAAATATTGGCTATCTCATTAACGAGTACAATAACAAAGATGGAACAACTTTTGCCGACATGTCCTTCAATCTATCCACCCTTTTATCTTCGATTAACTGTTTCTTTTTTATCTATCATGTCAAATGGAATTTTAAAAGATCTGACTTAATCTACCGAATGGTCAATAAAAATCCGCATCTGTGTCTGCGCGATCCGAAATTGCTACGCAATTTTCAGTGGAACAATAAGATTCTGGTCCTTATTTATGTCTACTGTGTAATGTTTGCCGTTTCCGTCACGTTGGCGGTTGAATTGCAAAATTGCGACAATCATCCGCAGCCTTATTCATGTGGATACGTTTTACCAAGTGTATTTTTTTAATTTAATAATAATTTTAATTATTTAATAATTCATTATTCATGTTTCAGTATTTTTTATTGATAACATTGAACGTCCGTACCGTACACTCTACAACTTGGCAACTCTATGTTTTCTTATTTATTCGGGATTTGGAGTGATGAATGCAGTGTTTTTAATGTACTGCATGATATCATACTTGGAGTCATCTTGCATCGTATTCAAAAACACTCTAAGGGAAGCTAAATGTATCAATATTAAAACTATACGATATCGCAAATTAATTATGGCACATCATCAGCATTTGTATATGACGAGGCAGGGCGCTACACTGTAATTGCCGTTATTCTTGGTAATAATGACGTTTATTTCTAGGATATGGATGCTTCTGACGCATTTCGTTAAATGGCCTGGATTTGTACTGATTGTGTTCAGCGGATTAACAATTGCACTAATTATTATAACAGAGTTCATAGTCTATAAATAACTTATACAATATTTTGCTGAAAATGTCTAAATAATGTATTTTTAGCGTTTCGATGTGCTCAGCCTGTGTCATGTTATGATGTACACTATTATTGTATATAGCTTGGGATGGATGGGTGAAAGAATAATAGCTCTTGTTAGTCCAATTACTTGTGACTATACGTACGTAATCTGATTGATTCATCCGTTCTAGGGTGAAAAAATACGGCGAGACACCTTTTATGCATGTCCATGGGATGGTGACGTGAAAAGTGTACGGATTTTAATGTTAATGAATATGAATTTCAACCACAACTTGTCAGTGCCACTTGGGAATTATACATCGTTTTCATGCACGATTGTACTATCTGTATGATGGACAAGTTTTCTTAGCCGAAAGAGAATTATAAAATTCCATTATTTGCAGGTTTTCAAATTTGCTTATTCTATCGTAATGTTGTATATTAACAAGGCTTAGCAGATTGAGTAATATTTGGTATATTGGTATTATTTTGCAGTCAAAGCTGCACCAGCGCAATCTAGTGATGAATTTCCTAAGCTTACACGAAGAGAGTTACCGGCTTCTGCAATGAAGAAGAATATTTAATTTTTTTTTAAATCAAGCAGTATTTGCAACATGCTTTATCCTTGTTATTTAAATGCTAAAAATATATTGATGTAATATATTGTATTTGAATTATCACTTGCCTCAAATCGATAGTAAACGCATTTCCTACATTGTTGAAATTTTTCTGTAGATTGGGTGGCCTATAGTAAGAACCTGATTCTAAGTAGAAATAAAATACTAACTGAATAAAAATTTTCAAATCCATTCCACCTAATCACAAAGGACCTTTTCTTTAAATACCACGTTATAATTTTAAAAACAAAAATTACTAATACATATTGACAAAATATCACTGTGCTAGTTAAAAGTGTTTAATATAAATGGTTATTAATGGACCTAGCTTTTATTATTCAATTAAAGAGGTGTTTAGATTATAATCATAAAATCCATTGTTATATCCTTTAAAATCAATGATTTCAGTTTGCACTCTGAAATATTCAGAAGCAACTTTATGAAACATAAATAAACTCCAGTATAATTTCATTATTTTTCCTCCGTTATGCATTATTAAAATATAATTCTTGAAAGATATAAAAAGTAAATTTCTCAAACAATTCAATCAACTTTTCGCCATCATCTTGATAACCTCAATTATGTACCTATAATTTAGGGTTCGAATAAAAAGCTTCCACTGTAAATATTAATAGAAAAGTGCTGGTGTCAATGTGATTCACGACAATGTAAGAAATTAGGGCTGCCGATATCTGTGGCATCCCAGTCATAGAGTACGTCGACTTCCTTGCATGCGCGTTGGCAGGCAGACCGACGTTGCCCGTGACGTCACTCAGTGCACACGCAGGTCTGTGAACCCGCCAAACAAAAAATCTATATTAACTCCGTTCGTGCTGATATCAGCGGTTATCGGCTCCTGTTTTCAAAACGCCATTGCGCGCTGCCCATTTTTCGTGTGAAAAAGTGCAAAAACGCAATGCACTCGTGTTTCTTTTAATTACATAACAATTGCTTAACTATGCCAAAGAGAAGAAAACAAAGCCTATTACGCTTAAGCTAATTTGATGAATTCACCAGTTTAATTGAGTTATGTCAAGAATTAAGAACACACACGTGTCACGTGTGCAATGCTCGCGTACTAGCCCGCTTGGCAGTGAAACAAAAAAAGAAGAGTCAAGTTGAGGATTTTTAAAAATACCCAACCGCCTGTTATTTTCGGTGCTGTTAAGGGGATACACGCACTTTTAAATCGAAACAAATATTTTACGAAAGTTTGAATTATCGGATGAAAGAAATCACGTCAACATATGCATCATTATACCCAAATTAACTCGACGCGCCTGCACAAAAATCACCAAAATCCAAGCGCAACACGCGTCAACGCTCAATTACGAATTCGGAAAATAAACGAAGCGTGAAAATGCAAGACATGAGAGACAAATCGGGGCCGGTCTTAATGCGTCGCGCTTTACCGCTTCCAAACGCCAAACGCCAAAATGATGATAAGATAACACGCCGAATGTGTGAAGCACGTACGTAATTTTTTTCCTCTGTATTTCGGTCGGGTTATTATTACCCAGTGATAATAAACTTGACTTTTTACGGCCAACAAGTTGTTTCCATATACATACATTCACACACCAACACGCATGCCAACGAGAATGAGACATCGTCAAATGCTCGCGCTTATCACAAAAATATTTATTGCCGGCGAATGTATGTTGTGGCGTGTGGTAATAACGACGCCCCGAGGTTTATTGACTTCTTTCACAAAAATAACACAATCGTACGCTGCGAAGTAGAATGGGAGGATTTAACGGACGAACGCCCGAATTATTGGCATGCAAACGCCGGAATTCATTTTTCAGCGGTGGTGATCAAAGTGATTTAAATATACGAGCGCGCAAATTGGCCGCCATTGAAAAAATGGTAAAATGTCACCAGCAGAAGAATTAGGACAGGTTTAATGAACCTCTTCAAATCGTAAATAATAAACTTTATACCAACATACGTGAATTTGCAGGATTTTTGTCGTGCGAACCTGTGCTGGGCGATGTGGGTGTAGTGATCGCAATTTGGGTTGCATAACATCGCGTAAAGTAAGAGCTACTCGTGGGCGGATCACAGTGGCAGCGAGTATCAATGAATCGATGCCGGCCGGCATAGCGGAAGCAAGATGCAACGGGTGCGCGGCCGCGTGAGATTCTCTCGGCCGGCAGGCGGGCGGTGCGCGGAGCGCCGGGGCGCCCCCTCCACTCGCGGGGGCCCCGCGCGCGCGGCTTGCGCTACTCCAGGTCGTTCACCCCGCGAGCAGGGCGGGCGGCGGGGCGCTGAGGGGCAGGCAGGCGCACGGCGCGCGCTGCCGCTCTCGTCCTTAATTCACAGTTACACACGCCGTGCGCGCACTCACACTGGGCCGCCACATGGGCCGCGCGTATCGCCGCCGCCGCACGCCGCTATTCCGTACTGGGAGCCCTTCGCGACGCGGACGCGCCGCCCGCTGAAGAGGTGATCGGGAGGAAGCGCCGGGCGCGCGCGAATTTTTCTAGGTGCCGGCACATTGCACTGCGTTGCGTAAGCGCGACTCACGCCGTCCCCGCGAACACGACTCTACTCTTCGCCCGGTCGCGAAGCGTACGTAACTTATGTGTGTGCGCGGTACATAACAAGCCAGTGCATTTGTTGTTGAAAATAAAAGTGCTCACAACTCCACACTCACACAAGCTTTCTTTGCGCTATTAACACCAAACGCACGACGCCGGCGACTGGAGTGTTTCGTGATAATCCGAAGTGCTTGAAAGTGTTTGTTAAGTTTTTTTTGGTTTTCTCTGGCTAACTTTTAAACTTTTAATGGGCAAACTGTCATCCCGAGGATTACATATTTCCCACAACGCTGAGGCCAGGATACAAACAATCTCAAAAGGTACGCAACACCATAATATGTAATACTAAAATAACCCAAACAAGAAATGAATTCCGCAGCCGTCGAAACTGCACTTTAGGTCAAACATTGCGTTCGTGTGATGCAGTTTAACGATACCAATTTGCTTTGACCTATTTTTGCCACTCGCACAAACGTACGCCGCGACGCACCACAACCACTTCGTCGTCGTCATCCTCCACTGCGCTAAACAAACGCACACTGCTATTGTTTATTGCCGAAGCGCGCGGCCGCGGTCGCAAATAACGATACAGCATCTAAACGCATTTCATAATTACGCCCGTTGTTGAATATCGCGTTCGAACCGTTCGAAATGTAACAGCGGCGACAAAAATTTAGGTCAAACGGCTTAAAATCGTATTTTACCACAACGCACACCGAAGCTGCCGAGCGCGCGCGAAACGACCAATGTTTGGATTATATCAGCCATCGTCGCGAACTTTATCGCTGGAGCACAATGATTTTTATCAGGAGCTATTTTATTTCATGAACAAATAACATGATCAGGATTAAACTCAATATTTAGAACATACAATACATCCAACTTAAAGAAGCAAGCAATTTTTTCCATTGCTTGAAAAGAAAACGAACTTTCTTCGTGTGTTATTCAGATGTGTAAAAAACCGTTTCATTTGCTGCGGCGAATGTTGTTGCAATCACAATCACGGCGCGCGTGAGTTTGCATTTCGTATTATCGCTGCATTAGTGCGACTATTACAAGCGTTTGTTGTCGGTTCCGGCGAAGAGAAAGCTTTCCGCAATGCAACTTTCACTGCAGCGCTGCAGATGCAACGGTGCAACATTACAGCGAACACGACATTTTTTTACGTCCGTATTTTCTACAGGTCGATGCAGAATATCAAATTGGAGCCAAACAATATCTTAAATTCATTAATATAACCGGAAATATTTTTGGTGTGTCACGTTTGATATCATTATATTTATCGATATAAATAGAATTCTGCGAAAACCTTGAAATGAAAAGCTCAAGTACAAGTTCACAAACGTTTGGAGCGACATCGACACGGCGCTTAATAATCGCGCGCCATTGAATGCGATCAAAAGTGTTCATCGATATGGCGAACACGTTTGCTTCGCGATGCGATACGAACACTTTCGCTGCATAACAGTTGTGTACCGTAACGTGATAGCTGTCGCCCGATGTCTGACTAATTAAATCACAGAGACAAAACAAACCTACTCAAACTATAAATATCAGACACACTGATATTTTGCCCAAGACGAAAATAAAAGGAAAATTTCGTTTATTTCAAATGGAAAATGTTGTCATCTGGATGTATGTAATATGCTATGGCTTGGCCGGTTGAGATTGGTTGCTAACGTGTGCTCGGCGTAATGTGGATCAAGGTAAAATTGCACAACCGGCATCGGCACGCCGACACATCGCGTATAAGCGTATTCCAAAACGGATTCGTGAATGTAAACGCACGTAACGCACACAATCATAAATTTATCTCATGTATAATGCGCAGACACAAGACAAGACATTGCTCTTGCAACTTTTACCTTGGATTAATCATCAATAAATAATGTTATGTCGCAAAACAAACGATTATATCAAGCAGAATGATAATTTCAGAATTTTAAGAACTAACATTTATGTTAATATCAACCTTGATTCCTGTACGTTTGTACCTACTGTATGTGGATAGTGTGCAATGTGTGAATGTTTTAATTGTGATTTTTTGTTACTTCTGTGCTTTTTGCGATTATGTGCATTGTGGTCATAAGAAGATAAAATGTTTGCTCGATGTTTCAGAAACACGCGGCGCGAAGTGATAAGATGCACACGCTTCGGACGGACTGGAAGTGATTTCGCGTCCGGATGCGCGGTGGACGATGGCTCGCGCCGCTCCTTTCGGCAATCGCACCCCACGATTGTTCAGCGCAAAGGCGTCCCGTGTGTTTCGCAGCGTGTTCGACGCCATCGGTATTAGATAAAGCGACAAGATAACTTATGAAAATGTAAGTAGCAGCAATGTTTTTTATCAACCTGTATATACGAGTACATTAGATATTTGAAGAACTTCTTCGGGAAACAATGAATA